ACTGTCGTAAACACACTCTGTAATGGTTCTTCAACTAGAAACAAGTATTAATAATTCAAAGTACATGGATATTAACCCTTGGTCAGGCATTACACACTTTTTGGGAAGACAATGCATTGGTATCTCAGTTTCTAGATCTGATTCCACAGAAATACTCTGAAATAGACAATCTGATTCAGAAGTATGAAACTGCTTATAAAAAACAAAGCACAGGTATAAGACCTGAAATTAGAACTCAGAATCGAAGCCATTTGTGCTTGGGTGTCTTTAATTTCTAGTTCTCGTTTTTGTACCACTAAAGAACACAGTCCCAAAACGTCATGAATAAAAGAATAAAAACAAAGGTTGAAACTGTCCCAAAAGAGGTCACTTGGAAAATAGGCAGAAGAAAAAAACATTACTACATACAGCAAACATGAGAGCAAATTACATCTAGCTATTTCCTTGAGATGCTCAGAAGGTAGGGCTGTAATTCATTCCCATGCCCACAGCCTTTCTTCAGGCTAATTACAGCACATGTAGTTCCTCTATGAAGCTTTCTGTATCCTCTGCACTTGCTAGTATACTATACATAGCAGCACGAATTTTCCTTCGGAGCAAAGTTTAGTTATTATTCCTTTCCGTGACCGCGTTCCCAAAGGCACCACATGTCTTCAAATCAAATTAAACCAGAAGATTCAAGTCTCCAGAAATCCCTGGCCCGGCTCACTCCAGCTCCCCCGTCCCACAGTCAGTGCACAGCGAACCACATTTTCTATTCCAGTCAAGACAGCCTACTTTCCATCTCTCTAGACTCTAACCACTGTACATAACATATGTTCTGCTCTGCTTTTCAGTAATACCATCCTCATCAAAATAATTTTTTCTCTTTAAAAAACATGAAGACTAAAAGCACAGGCAACAAAAGGGAAAAATAGATAAATTGGGCTTCATCAAAATTAAAAACTTTTCTGCATCAAAGGACACTATCAACAGAGTGAAAAGACAACCCACAGGAGAAAATTTGCAGCTCATATATCTGATAAGAGATTAATAACAGAATATATAAAGAACTCCTACAACTCAATAATAAAAAACAAACAACTCAATTAAAAAGCAGACAGAATGTGCATAAACAAACACTTTGGCAAAGAAGATATACAAGTGGTCAGCAAGCACATGAAAATATGTTCAACGTCAGAGAGAAAAATACATCATTGGAAAATGCAAATCAAAACTAGAACGAGATACCACTTCATCTACCAGGTGGCTATTATCAAAAACAAACAAAAAATAACAAGTGTTGGTCAGGATGTAGAGAAATTATGCATTATTGATGAAAATGTAAAATGGTGCAGAGGCTAAGAACAATAGTATTGGCAGTTCCTCAAAAAATTAAGCATAGAATTACCACATGATTCAGTAATTCCATTTCTGGGTATGTACCCAAAAGAACTGAAAGAAGAGACTTGAACAGATATTTGTACACCAATGTACAAAGCAGCATTGTTCATAACAGTCAAAATGTGGAAAGAATCCAAACGTCCACTGACCAATGAATGAATAAAGAAAATGTGGTATATACATCCAACGGAATATTACTGAGCCTGAAAAAATAATAAAATTCTGATACATGCTGTAACATGGATGAACCTTGAAAACATAGTGCAATAAGTCAGACACAAAAGGGCAAATATTATAGGAGTCCACCTATATGAGGTACCTAAAGTAGTCAATTCAGAGACAGAAAGTAGATTACCAGGGACTGGGAAGAGGGAGGAATGTGGAGCTAGTGTTTAATGCGTACAGAGATTCTATCTGGGATGATGGAAAAGTTCTGGAGATGGACAGTGGTGACGGTTGCACAACAAGGTGAACGTACTTAATGTCACTAAACTGTACAGTTGAAAATGGTTAAAATGGTAAATCTTAGGTTACGTATATTTTAACACAAAAAAACGAAGATTCAAATGAAAAGTAACTCCATTAAACTCCTCAATATTTAATATAGTTATAACTAATTACTATACTTAACTGGTTTGTCAGTTGTGTAAAATAAATGAGTCTTCCTAGAAAGTTAGAAAAACTTTTAAAATTAGGCACTTTATTTTTTAGGATATCTTTAAATATTGACCAATATTTAAAATTTGACCTATAAAATAAAAATTAATTTATCAAAGAACAAGCATACTTGAGAAACTATCCTGTATACTCTTCTTCTCTATCAGTCACTAATTTTCCTCTATCGATCTTACGTTGTAGTATTTTCTGTCATCATACAATTGTAGCTTTTATCCAAATGAGCTAAAATTTAAAAGTAAATAATTATATAAACGGAATGACGGCATACAGGTTTCCAACGTTAGACTTGAATTACAGAGACTTTTCAGTATAAACAAAAGGAAAGGGAGGGAGGAAGTATTGCCTTAAGAGTCTAAGGCACACACGCACTGCTAGGTCTAAAACAAAAGATAAAACATCTTAAGTTGCAAAATAGTTGAAAGATATCGTGGTATACATTATAACACAGTGCAAGCAGCATTTCATATAATAAATCCATGTGTTATCAAAAGGAACTTTCTCAAGGATCATCACATAAATCTCAGAAATTGTGATCCCATATTACCACTAGGAAGATGGATTTTGGCTATATAAACTTAGTAAACGAAAACCAGTATCACTATTTTTAGGAGCAAACTAGATGACATGCATAAATAACAAAGTGAATCTAAATTTTTAAAATAATCATTAAATAAAAGTGAACAATTAGAACAGAGTAATAAAAATAATAAATTACATGGATGGAAGCAACTGACTAGATAAAAGCACGGAAGAATCTGGGCATACAAATAACATGAATCAACCAAATGGTGTTGCCATCATAAAGAAATCTAGTATTGTAACGGATTAATGCAAATGATCTCAGAGCTAAGATAAATTAATATTTGAAGTTCCACATTTTAAGATAAGCCAAAACAAAGAGGTCACAGCCATTCTAATTTTGCTTCTATATCCTAGAATATAGCAGGTGCTTGATAAAAACGTATTGGCTAAATAAGGTCATTAACTAAGAACCTGGAACCATTTAGTGGCTATTGAACTCCGGAGGCAAACATAAACCTGAATTTACAAGATATGCCATAGGGTAATTATCTCAGTAATGATCTTTAACCTTAAAATTTTATGGGAAATAATGATGGATACTTCAACTCCTAAAGTAGTATATACGTAACTCAAATCAGGAAACTCTTAATCACCAAGTTTAAGGGAGGTTAAAACATTGAGGTGACAAAGCAAGGAGTCATGATCTTTCTAGAGGGAAAATGGCACTTTTTAAAATCTTGAAAGATGGACATACTAAGAAGCAGGTCCACTAGGAAGAAAACGGGACTTAAGATTATTTAATTGGAAAAGCCAAGGATGGGAATGTGATAAGCTTTGACATAGGACACACTACTATGAGAGAATTTTTCCTTGCTACCAGTGTAGAATGTGAGGAGTCAGTTTGCCTTGACATTTTATGAAGTTAACAAAACATCTGCAGAATCCACTGCGCTTTTGAAACGTACTAGAATACCATCATTCTACATGGTAAACTACATAAGAATATTTGATAACCTTCTGGCTAAAAAAAGAATGAAGAAATAAGAAAATGCTAAAGTTCTGTTCATTTAGAACATAGTTAAAGACGAAGGGAACCTGTCTACCAGTGTAGTTCCATAGTTAAATGTTTTCCTTTATTCTTTTTTTCCCCCACTGTGGAAGATTGGCCCTGAGCTAACATCTGTTGCTAATCTTCCTCTCTTTTTGCTTGAGGAAGATTAGCCCTGAGCTAACATCTGTGCCAGTCTTCCTCTATTTTGTATGTGGGATGCCACTACAGCATAGCTTGATGAGCAATGTAGGTCAGCACTCAGGATCCAGATCCACGAACCCCAGGCCACGAAAGCAGAGTGTGTGAACTTAACCACTATGCCACCAGGCCAGCCCCTCCCTTGTTCTTAATAAAGATATCTAAGCTTTGGTTTACTAATCAGTTCAGTAAATCAATGCTAAAGGCAGAAATTCTGTATATTTAAGCTTTAGATTTTAAAGATTGTTTTCATCATGTATAGACAGAATGAGATGCTTTTGGACCTAAAAAGTTTTTTTATATTATCTTCATTTCTAAAAACATCACCCATCAACAAGGTAATCAAAACTGAGACAGAAAGTGGTGGGCATTTTTTATTTTTAATCACAATATTAATATTGAAACTCTTTTCTAATGACGATCAGGAGTGAGTTCCAATACAGTCTAAGATAACTTTGTAAGTGGTAATTCTAGTTAAGGAAAAACTAAGATATAAAAGACATATAAGGCAAAATCTTACATAAAATTCCCTTTACTTTTTTGATAGGATCAGAGTAAAGAAAACACTACTTGCCTTTGGGAATAGAAATAATAAAGTGATACGTAAATATTACTATAAACTGAGAAGATACCTGGCTTTTACTATGAGAATAGATTTATCACTTTAAGAATCATCTTTATGTTAAAAATTAGTAAAAAACTTTTACAAAGAGAATTAACTTCTAAAATTATGCTAACTGCTCTGTAACGTAGCTTTGAAGTAAGAATACGTATTTAAGTAAATGCACTTAGTATACAGTTCATTAAAGAACATTAGCATTTTAATAGCAAGATTAATCAAGGACAATGAAACTATTTTCCTTAGGAAAAAGAAACTAAACACTATAAAATAAAAGCAATGATTGGAAATCTTAACTGATTTTATGTTATCAAGAGAGTCAATTTAATTTAATTATTTAATTTTTCCACAGAACTAACAATCGGTATTACTTCCATACCAAAAGAGATATAATCTGGGGGAAAAGAGTAAATCTATGAAGATTTTGACATTTTCCCTATCCACTTCTCATTTTTAAGATGTGATGATTCATAAGTCTAACAGAGATTATAACTTTCAGGAAATATACAAGAAATCCATGTTAAATAACAACAGTGGACCTCGAAGGCATGAGCTTTTGTCACTTTATTGTTAACCAATGAATGTTATCCAAAATTATAGATGTAATTGTAACTTAATTGTACAACACAAAATTATGCTAATGGTAAAAGCCTGTTGGAATTTACCAAATACTCATTAATATATTTTTACATTGCTATATGAACATGTGCTCTCAATTGCTAATAATAAAAGTTATAATTGGTTTAATCACTATGAAAACCTATATTGCAAATAGTTGTTCCTGTTTAGAAAAATTCACACAGCTTTAAAAATGGATTAAATCCATTTTAATCCTAATCTACAAATAGATTATAAACAGCAAATATAACTGGTAATTTTTCAACACTGATATCAAACTGATGTGACAATGGTAGTGCACACAATTCAAAATGAAGAAAATTAATAAAAATCCAACGGAAGTCCAAGTTTTCCCCTTTATGGCAATTGTTTTAACGCTCTGGAAAAGTGAACACAGGCTTGAAAGCATCAACAGCAGCGTTCACCCTCTAGTCCTCTAGCATGCTGCAAGCAGAAACATTCTCTTCCACAGTATTTTGAAGCATATGCACAACCACCGTACAACAGTGACTTCAAGGGTAACCAGTTATCTTTTGTCCTACAAAGTCCAAAAAATATATTAAATGCAACCTTTCCTTTTCATTATGTCTGCCCAGATTAATCCTTTTAAAGTCAGCAAAATCAAAAAAGCACAAGAGATATTTTCAGACACAAGTTGGATCTACTGTGCATGAAAAATGTTTAACAAAATGGCAATTTTAATAGATAAATGTAAATTTGAGTGCATAATACCAAATGGAAAGTAGCTGAACCACCCAGAGAAAACAAGGCTTTTCTTATCTCCAAATCTAGATATTTTACAATAAAGAAAATGTTAGAACACGTGAGTATTAGAACATCTTTCAAACAGGAAAGATTTCCTTGTAAGACATAATTGAGCTTAATATAACCTAACATTATAATTTCTAAAATAGGTTTAAAAAAACAAATTTAAGTATTCTTAGTTAGAGATTGAAAAAAATAAGCACAATGATTTAGAAATCAAATATGCTAAAATGATTATGTAACAATTACATCAGGAAATGAAGGTACAGACATTCTTCACATGCTACAAGGGAAACCTCTCTCGCTCTCTCACACACTCACACACACACACACACACACACACACACACACACACACACACACACATACTTACTTCCTCAGGCATACAACACCCCTCCAGGAAGATAGTATACCAGCAAGAGCTTACAATTTTAGTACAAAGTCCCACAATTCAGCTCAACAAAAAGGCAGTTAAAAATTTAGCACTCTAAGATATTCTGAAGATAAAAGGAAATCTCAAAAATATTCCTTCATGATTGAAAGCATCACTATGTATTATAAAACATACAGCTGACACACTCTGTTGTGTTTGAACAACCAGTCATCGCAGGTGTAGTAGTGAGGTAGTATTTATTGTCCCTTCTCTGGGACTAATGTTTTCATAGGCTGTCCTTCCAGAAAGGTCCAAGTTCTTTTTAATGATTATAATCAATTACCAACAAACGATATTTTCTTTTATTAAATATCTCTTTGTCTAAATCAATCTATGAAAGAACAAAACTTTTAAATCTTTCAAAGATGACTGTTATTTGCAGATAACGTTTCATCAATAAATTTTCCTAGGGACCTACTACCTGCTGTCTACACCTTTGTGAATTGGTAAGTAAAGAAAGCCAAAGGGTGACAGGAGATGAAACACCAATCAATTCAGCTGTCAAAGATGACTGTAATTTAGTAAGCAAACATCAAATATCCAATAATGTAATTAAATTGGGATTTAAAAACTTAGCCACCAGCTGCACACTACACCATTCAACATTCTAATCCTCTTCATGATTGATATCTGTTTTCTCACAATGATCAAACACTGTCCACCCTGTCACCTACCCTCATTTTAAACACTGCCAATGATCTGTATGGTGGTATGGCAAGATACAAGGAGACATTGAGAAAATATGAATGAGAAAGAATGTGAAAATATGTGCAGATAAAACATGGGAGGGGCGAGGAAAACCAGAGTGCTCTACCTAAACACTCAGTAAGTAACCATCATCCTTTGAAACATACAAAGTGCTTAAATCACACATACACATTGGTCAGACGTGATAATTAGTGTTAATCTTCAACAGAAAAAAAATGGAAAATGAAAATCGTGAAAGGTGATGGAACACTGTTCTCCATTCCCTGGCCCAAAAAAAAAGGAAAACCAAACATGATATCACACTGCCTTAATGAGGAAGAGTTCCCCTTAGATACGTCTGTTAGTCACCACAGTCAAACTGGTATAAGTGCTTTGGCAAGGTGGGATGCACTCCATCACATCTGCAAAGGCCTGCTTTTCTCTGTTGGTGGTTCAGCTTATGAAGAACACGTATGCAAAATAACAGCTCTCACATTGCTTCAAACTCATCAATACGCTGCTTTGTATTGCCTTGTCGAATCTGTCGCAGAGTCTTGTACTTATCACGGCCTGCTTTAACATTCTCAGCATGAAGAACATCATTTTGTGTTTTCTTTGTTTCATCTCTGGCTTGGGCTAATTCTGAACTTAATGCCTATGTTTAAAAAATAAAAATTATGACTATGATTTTTTTCCTTAGATTTTAAAAACATGAAAAAGTTTAAAGACAAAAACATACATATAACAAATCTGACTTTTTTAGTACATTAAAATTTCCATTGTAAAATCTTTTTCTTTAAAGTGTGTAAGTTTGTTTTACTTTTAGTAATAATAGGGGTAGTGGTTAGGAAGGAATACTCATGGCCTTTCATTTCTACACTCATCAACCATGACAATTTTGTGTATTATTCTAAATTTCCTTAAGTTTCTCCAACAATACTTGAAATGACTTACAAAACGTGCAATGTAGCCATTATAGAATAATTTATAGATAAAAATCTACACCACTAGAAACGCTTTCTCCAAAAGTCTTAATATTTTATTCAACTATCACCTCACTTTCTTTATTAATATTTAAAGATTTCACCAATTAAAAAATTATAGAACTTACCTGGAAAGAAAGTTTAATATTAAAATTTCCTATTTTATTCTAATTATGCAAATTTAATAAACTGACCTTTCACCATTATAAAATCTGAACAAATAATTCAGATGATATAATGTCATACAACTAGTGTATTAAATTTTCATTGCCTTTAATATATACTTTACTATTTAAAAATTAAATTCATTTGCTTTTTAAACACAGCATTAAAATATTATCTTTTAACAAGAGTCAAGCTATAGTTAAAGAATAACTTACTGGTTAAGGCCTGATTACACAAGACTAACAAACAAGGGTGTGCTAACAGGATCATACAATAGATGAAATGAAATAATGCAACTGTAGGCCAAGCACCCACAAAGCAATCACAAGACCAGCTAGTGTTCAAGGCTTCCACAAAATCTAATGATCATTTTTAATAAGTTTAACTTAATAAAAAAAGAAAATGTAAACTATATTTTAAACGTGCATACAACTGCAAATTTTAAATACCTGGAGTTGCTTCTTAACACGCTCATTTTTCTGTGTTTCTGTTACACGTTCCTCCTCACTTCTATGGTTCATTACCCCATCATTTGATAATTCAGCGCTAGCCTCAGCATTATTCTCATCATGTTCATCATGTTCATTTTCTGTTGGAGGAATGACCGGTGGTGGTGGAGGTGGAGGGGGGGCAGACATCACAGTTTTTAACTCTTCTTTGGTCTTTTCCAAGTCTTCCTGGGCTGCAAAAGCCTGAATATTATAAAATAAGTTTATCAGCAACTTACTTTTAAAACTTATAATTAAAACAATCATGCTATCCGTCCTTTCTAACAGAAACTATATTGCAGAGTAATGAAAATAGACCCTATTGATGAAAGCTCTATTTTTATAGAAGAATGACAACAGGTAGGAGTGATAGAATTTAAAAACATCACTTTGCACACCCTAACAGAATTATTAATTCTGGCAAGGATTATCAATTGTTGCTAAAATTGTTCTGCAAATAGTCGATGAGAAATGGATATTAGTACAATGCCAAAGAATGCTACACCTAATAGATTACATTTTAGCCACAAAGAGGAAAATGTAACCAGACAGTGGAGGAATCAGACTGTCATTATTCTATTCCAATGATCAATTAAAATCACTAATGGTGGGTTAACTAGATACTGTCTTCTGGTATGATACAACAGAAGAATCCAGCATCATTCATTATTTGAGTGACCATATCGTGCTGGTTTGCCTGGAAAATCTTGCATTACACTGTTGTCATGATGTCATGATTAATAAAACTCCCTTTCACTCTCAAAAATGTTCTAATTTGGATGATAAATGATACGGAAGTCTTACCTATAAGGCATTGTAGCCAAAAACTTAACTTGAATCATTCAAGGTTTTAGGTCTATCTTCCAATTTACAGGAAATATTAACAATAAAAGGACAAGCTGAATGACATCATGAGGAAGAAAGGAGACAAATATAAGAGGAGGGACAATCTGAAGGTCCTTTCAATTACTTAGTATCCTAAAAAGAACTGGCCTACTTTAAAAGAGATTTAGAGCAAACAGACGCAGTGCAAAGTCCTACTTTGGACACTGGCCTGGCAAATTATCTATAAAGGACTTCTTGGGTCAATTTTGAATATAGTCTGCCCAGAAATATATATATGGACAACTAATTTACAACAAAGTAGCCAAGAATGTACAGTGGGAAAAGACAGTCCCTTCCATAAACGGTGTCGGGAAAACTGGACAGCCACACGCAAAAGACTGAAACTGGACCACTATCTTACACCATACACAAAAATCAACTCAAAATGGATGAAAGATGTGAACCTAAGACCTGAAACCACAAAACTCCTGGAAGAAAACTTAGTTGCTCCTTGACGTTGGTCTTGGCAATCATTTTTTGGATTTGACACCAAAAGCAAAGGCCACAAAAGCAAAAAGTAAACATGTGGGACTACAGCAAACCAAAAAGTTTCTGTACAGCAAAGAAAACCATCAATAAAATGAAAAGGCAACCTACCAAATGGGACAAAATATTTGCAAATCATATATCTGATAAGGGGTTAATATCCAAAATATACAAAGAACTCATACAACTCAATAGCAAAAAACACAAATAATTCTATTAAAAAATGGGCAGAGGATCTAAATAGACATTTTTCCAAAGAAGACATACAGATGGCCAACAGATACATGAAAAGGTACTCAAAATCACTAATCAGGGGAATGCAAATCAAAACCACAATGAGATATCACCTCATTCCTGTTAGAATGGTTATTCTCAAAAAGATAACAAGCATTGGCGAGGATGTGGAGAAAAGGGAACCCTTTTTTCTTGTGCATCATTGGTGGGAATATAAATTGGTGAGGCCATTATGGAAAACAGTATGGAGGTACCTCAAAAAATGAAAAAATAGAACTACCATATGATCCAGCAACTCCACTTCTGGGTATTTAACCAAAGAAAAGGAAATCACTAACTCAAAAAAATATATGCACTCCCATGTTCACTGCAGCATTATTTACAATAGCCAAGATATGGAAGAAACCTCTAAGTGTCACAGTGGATGAATTAATAAAGAAAATGTGGTGTATACATACACAATGGAATATTATTTAGCCATAAAAAAGGAGGAAATCTTGCTATTTGCAACAACATGGACGGACCTTGAGGACGTTACATTAAGTGAAATAAGTGAGGGAGAGAAAGATAAATACCATATGATCTCACTTATATGTGGAATCTTTTTTTTTTTTTTTAAGGTATGCTTTCTGTTGAGGAAGACTGGCGCTGAGCTAACATCTGTTGCCAATCTTCCTCTTTTTTTCCTCCCCGAAGCCACAGTACATAGTTGGATATCCTAGTTGTAAGTCATTCCAGTTCTTCTAGGGGAGATGCCACCACAGCATGGCTTAATGAGTGGTGTGTAGGTCCACACCCAGGATCTGAACCAGCAAACTCCAAGTCACCAAAGCAGAGCACAAAAACTTAACCACAGCCACAGGGCTGGCCTCTATACATGGAATCGTAAAACAAAACAAAACTGAGCTCATGAACACAGAGAACAGATTGGTGGTTACAAGAGGTGGGTATGGGTGAAACGGGTGAAGGAGATTAAAAAGTATATAAACTCCCAGCTATAAAATAAACACGTTCTGGAAATGTGATGTACAGCATGGGGACTAGAGTTAATAATATTGTATTGCATATTTGAAAATTCTTAAGAGAATAAATCTTAAAAGTTTTCATTACAAGAGAAAAAATTTTACAACTATGTACGGTGATAGATGCTAACAACTTATTGTGGTGATCATTTTGCAATATATATAAATATTGAATCATTATGTTGTATATCTGAAGCTAACAAAATGTTATATGTCAATTATATCTAAATAAAAAACTGAATATAGTCTAAAATTAGATAAGATGAAAACTGACTAAAATGGAATAGTATGCACAGTATGACCTCACTCTGAACATATAAATGTGTATGCATACACATACGCAAACAGGAAAAGATCCTGGAGGGATATGCACTAAGGTGTTAAAATAGTGATCCTAGTTTGTAGGAATGTGATTTTTCTTTTGAGTGCATTTTCTAATTTCTACAGTTCACAAGATTTGCCTCTATGATATGTTATTTTTAAAAGTTTATGTGTTTCAGGGGCTAGTTCCGTGGCCGAGTGGTTAAGTTCACGTGCTTCACATCGGTGGCCCAGGGTTTCACCAGTTCAGATGCTGGGCACAGACCCAGCACTGCTCATCAAGCCATGCTGAGACGGCGTTCCACATAGCAGAAACACAAGACCCTACAACTAGGATACACAACTATGTACTGGGGGGCTTTGGAGAGAAGAAGGAGGAAAAGAACGAAGATTGGCAACAGATGCTAGCTGAGGGCCAATCTTTAAAAAGAAAAAAGTTTATTTGTTTCTATAAAATTCTAATAAAGAAAGTAGTGTAACAGTAGGTTAACAGAGTTTTATTCCTTTTGTGGAGTTATATACACATGAATACATAATTCTCAATATATCAAAAACTTACTTATAAAGTTTAAACTGCTACAAAGAAAATTTAAGCTAAGAGTGAAAGAAACCATATTCACATTTTATTTTAGAAAAGTCATATACCTTCGGGTGTACAAAATTATTATTATAGTTCCTATTATCATAGTTCCATTTAAGAGTTAATGTTATTTAAAGTTTGAATTAAACTCTTATGATTTTAAAATCCCCCAGGCCTCCAACTAAAGCCTGATTTTTCACTTGTGTGCTATTTCAGACAACGGTGGTTTCATCTACTTAGAAACTCATATTAGAAATCTCAGTATCATCTTCACTGCATCCCTCTAATTCAACTTTATATCCGATCATTTGGTTGCCACACCCTTTTGAGTTTACCACAAAATGTCTCTCAACAATTCCTGTTCGTCTTTACTCTGTTACACCCTAGCTTTGGGTCTTTAGCTCGTAAGTAATCCTACCCATCATCCCAATCCATCCTTCAAACTGATTGCTAAGTTATTTTTATAAAATCATACCTGATCACACTACAATCCTGTTTTGAAACCTTCAGAGCCCAATGTCTACAAATACTCCCCATAATCTTGCTTAGCAGGGCATTTATTTAAAGCCTTTCACAACCTAATTTCCTCTCTAACTTTCCAGCCACATCTCCCAAAATTTCTGAACCTATAGTCTAAGCTTTGCTCACTTACTGGTTGTCCTCACATCTGTCATACTTCCTATACTCATTCAGTTCCCCTGTCTGGAATGACTATCTTTTCAGTCTCTAACCACTCCCAATCTTTCCTACCTCAAAATTGAATTTATTTTATTCAAGACCCACCTTTAACTTATAAGGGCTTCCCCAACACCTGCCTCATTCCCACAGAAATTAATCACCTCTTTTGTATTCCCAAAGTACTCAGCTTAAATCAATAGATTAATATTTACTACAATACACACAGATATCTCTTCCCCTCCAAATTGTGACAGTATCTTATACTCAACTCTATAAATTCAGCATACTGCTGGGTACAAAATGGGTATTCAATAAATGACAGTGAATGAACAAACAAATCATTACTTTGTGCTGCCACTCAGTAGCTTCCTCTTCCTTTTTCTTCTTGGCTTCCTCTAGAAGTGCAATCTTGGCAGTGAATTCAGCAAGTTCTGCTGCCTAAAATGAACAATATAATTACCAACACTAAAAAGCTTAATATATTTCCAATAATTTATATTAAGTCGTCAAAGCTTTAATGTACAATCTTGGGCTGTTTTACATGTTTTTCTTAGACAGACTTCCATTTTAAAAAATGGTAATATTTCTTTAAAATCATAAATATTTATAATAGGTCTAAGGAGCTAATAAGGAGGCAAAGTAAAAGAAAATTATTAATCTACAGACTAGTTATTTCTGTTTCAGTAGGGGGAACTTAAAATGTGCAACTTAGGAGCTACTTTTTAACTTTTATCAATAATATATTTGCTAAAGCCTACAAAAGAAAAAATTGTATTTATATAATGCTTTATAAAGAGCATTTTGTCAAATAATCTCATTTGATTCCCCAACAATCCTATTAGGTGGTATTACTCCTTTTTCAAAAGGAGGGATCTGAGGCACACATCAAGTAAATGCTTGAACCAATATTTAAATCCAGGATCTTCTAAGTGTCATAATACTCATTATTTGCAAGTCCACCAAACAAACAAAAAACCCAATCAATTATGGCCTACAGTTATCTTACAGGAGTTAGAACATATTGTCAATTTATCTAAAGCAAAACATGCCAGTGGCTTATGCAAAGTTTAAGTGAATCAGAATCTTTTGTCAGCAACAGATTCCACTTATCTTTTATTCTGTTTTGCTTTTAGTTTTTTTTTTAAAAGGCAGAAATAGAATTTCTAGGTTTATTTCCACCCTTTATTATTAAGTTACTTGTATCTTTGGTTTGCTTTCCAGAAGGTATAATATACTCAGTCTTGCAAGGTTCACTCCATGCTTTTGTCTAAATTATTCTTTTTCTCTAAGACAGAACTAAGACAGGCGCCTTACTAGCTGCTCCTGATTCTTCATCTGGTCGGCAGCTTGTTTTGCTATAGCAGACTTGGCCTCTTCAGCAGCTCGACGCTCCTTTTCAAGCCTTTCTGCTTCTTCTTTCGCTCGTTTTCGTTCCTGGTCCAGTTCCAGAGCTTTTCGAGTCTGTTCTTCTAGTTCTGTCAAATATATGTATATCCCACAAAACAATGTTTAATTCCAATTACTCTCAATATCAAAAGAAGCCAAAATAGTAGCAAGGAATCTAATCTGTACAGCTTCTAAGAATTAGCACAACTACAAATGAACACTTACCTTGTTTTTAACTTGGCAAAAGCCTAACAATTAAAAAAAATCTATTACATAATTAAATATGAAGAAATGAAAATCCTCTGTAATTCAAGTTATGTCATAAAGCTAGAAGCACATCCTCTATTTTATTTTTAAAAAAATACTCTTTCCAGGCCAGCTGGATGGCGCAGCAGTTAAGTGCGCAAGTTCTGCTTCAGCGGTCCAGGGTTCACCGATTCAGATGCTGGGTGCGGACCTATGCACCACTTGGCAAGCCATGCTGTGGTACGCATCCCACATATAAAGTAGAGGAAGATGGGGATAGATGCTAGCTCAGGGCCAGTCTTCCTCAGCAAAAAGAGGAGGACTGGCAGCATACGTTAGCTCAGGGCTAATCTTCCTCAAAAAAAAAAGAAAAAGAAAAAAAATCTCTTTCCAGAGCCAGCCCTGATGGCCTAGCAGTTAAAGTTCAGTGCGCTCTGCCTTGGCAGCCTGGGTTTCAGTTCCCAGGTGAAGAACCACACCACCTGTCTGTCATTAGCCATGCTGTGGTGGCAGCTCATATGGAAGAACCAAAAGACCTTACAACTATACACGACTATGTACTGGGGCTTTTGGAAGGGCATGGGGAGGAAGAAATAAGGAGGAAGATTGGCAACAGATGTTAGCTTAGGGCGAATCTTCCCCAGGGGGGAAATAAAAATCTCTCCAAAGTTTTATTCTCAACAACTTGCCATCTGTTCCAAAAATCTATAAAATAACACACTTTAAAACTTACATAAGTTTTTATTTATCTTAAACTAAGTATCAGATAAATAAGCTCATGACATTAAGATTGAAAATAATTCTTCTAATTCAATATAGGAATTTTGATGTGAATTATATGAATTACTGAAAATTTTGAGTTATTAGTACACAGCCATTCCTCAGGCATGAAGAAAATTAATATCTGGAGATGAATGACACAGATTTTAATCCTTAAGTGTACAGATCATACACACAATTCTCTTTTCTTATTCTAATGAGTTAAATGAGAAAGGAAAATATCACTAGCACAAAGCCAAAAGTTTTTAAATGAGTTTATTTAAATATTATTCTGACAAGTCTTGGTTAATAACAAGGACGTTTTGTGACAGAAGACAATAGAATGCCACCTATTAAGAGGGTACAATGTCTTAGAAAGAATGACTCTCACTTTCTGCACACTATAGAGAAGAGGAAAAGCAAAATTTGTAAGTCATGAGCTTTGAAAGCTAACTAACATACACACTTCTCCTTACTATTCTTAATTTTGTTGGTCTTGGTCAGAATTAATTTAAATAACTGCAGTTAAGACTTGGGAGGTTTTGAGGCAGTTAGGAAGGAAAATGACTCTGGTTAGGCTTTAAATATTGTAAAACTTCTATGAGGCTATTTGACCATAAAGAAGAAACATATATTAACAATGGATGTTACCAGAGCTGAATTCTAGGATTATTCACCTAGAATCTGCCTTCTAAAACTTAGATATCAAGCTAACCTACCAAACTTTTCTTATGGTTCATTCTTTCCATCTAGTTGACTGATATATAAAATAAAGCCCACAAACATAAACTGAAAGCCATGCCTCTGAGAACAGGAACACTTCAAGGGTGTCCACTCTCACCACTCTTATTCAACATAGTACTGGAGGTTTTGGCCAGAGCAATCAGGCAGGAAAAAGAAATAAAAGGAATCCAAATAGGCAATGAAGAAGCAAAACTCTTGCTGTTTGCAGATGACATGATCTTATATATAGAAAACTCTGAAGAATCCACTGGAAAACTATTAGAAATAATCAACAACTACAGCAAAGTTGCAGGGTATAAAATCAACTTACATAAATCAGTAGCATTTCTATACTCTAATAACGAACTAACAGAAAAAGAACTCAAGAACATAATACCATTCACAATCGCAACAAAAAGAATACAATACCTTGGAGTAAATTTAACCAAGGAAGTGATAGACCCATACAACAAAAACTACAAGACCTTCCTGAAAGAAACTGATGACATAAAGAGATGGAAAGACATTCCATGTACATGGATTGGAAGAATAAACATAGTTAAAATGTCCATACTACCTAAAGCAATCTACAGATTCAACGCTATCCCAACCAGAATCCCAATGACATTCTTTACAGAAATAGAACAAAGAATCCTAAAATTCATATGGGGCAACAAAAGACCCCGAATTGCTAAAGCAGTCCTGAGAAAAAAGAACAAAGCTGAAGGCATCACAACTCTTGACTTCAAAACATACTACAAAGCTACAGTAATCAAAACAGCATGGTACTGTACAAAATCAGGTCCACAGATCAATGGAACAGAATTGAAAGCCCAGAAATAAAACCACACATCTATGGACAGCTAATCTTCAACAAAGGAGCTGAGGGCATACAATGGAGAAAAGAAAGTTTCTTCAACAAATGGTGCTGGGAAAACTGGACAGCCACATGTAAAAGAATGAAAATTGACCATTTTTTTTCACCACTCACAAAAATAAACTCAAAATGGATCAAAGACCTAAAGGTAAGACCTGAAACCATAAGGCTTCTAGAAGAAAATATAGGCAGTACACTCTGACATCAGTATCAAAAGGATCTTTTCGGACACCATGTCTTCTCAGACAAGGGAAACAATAGAAAGAATAAACAAATGGGACTTCATCAGACTAAAGAGCTTCTTCAAGGAAAGGGAAAACAGGATTGAAACAAAAAAACAACCCACCAATTGGGAAAAAACATTTGCAAGCCAGATATCCGACAAAGGGTTAATCTCCATACTATACAAAGAACTCACACAACTCAATAACAAATAATCAAACAACCTGATCAAAAAATGGGCAGGGGACATAAGAGACATTTCTCCAAAGAAGATACACAGATGGCCAATAGGCACATGAAAAGATGTTCAGCATCACTGATCATCAGGGAAACGCAAATCAAAACTACACTAAGATATCACCTTACACCTATTAGAATGGCAAAAATAACCAAAACAAAAAGTAACAAATGTTGGAGAGGTTGTGGAGAAAAAGGAACCCTCATACACTGCTGGTGGGAATGCAAACTGGTGTAGTCACTATGGAAAACAGTATGGAGATTTCTCAAAAAATTAAAATTAGAAATACCATATGACCCAGCCATCTCACTACTGGGTACCTATCCAAAGAACTTGAAATCAGCAATTTCAAAAGTCCCATGCACCCCTTTGTTCACTGCAGCATTATTCACAATAGCCAAGACGTGGAAGCAACCTAAGTGCCCATCAACTGATGATTGGATAAAGAAAATATGGTATATATACACAATGGAATACTACTCAGCCACAAAAAAGGATAAAATCGTCCTATTCACAACAACATGGACGGACCTTGAGGGTATTATGTTAAGTGAAATAAGCCAGATAGAGAAAGACAATCTCTGTATGACTCTACTCATATGTGGAAGTTAAACATGTAGACAAAGAGAACAGATTACTGGTTACCAGGAGAAAGGGGGGGTGGGGGCGGGCACAAAGGGTGAAGTGGTGCACCTACAACATGACTGACAAACAACGTACAACTGAAATTTCACAAGGTTGTAAACTATCATAATCTCAATAAAAAATAAAATAGAAAAAGAAAATCACAATGAGTTACCACTTCATACCCATTAGGATGACTATAATCCAAAAGACAAACATCAACAAGTGTTGGTGAGGATATAGAGAAACTATACATTGCTGGTGGGAATGTAAAATGGTACAGTCACTTCAGAAAACAGTTTGGCAGTTCCTCAAAAAGTTAAACATAGAGTTACCATATGACCCGGCAATTCCACTCTCAGGTTTATATCCCAAAGAAATGAAAACATACAAATACACAATAACCAGTACTTAAATGTTCATAGCAGCATATTCACAATAGCCAAACAGTAGAAACAACCCAAATGTCCAACAAAAGATGAATAAGTAAAATGTAGTATATCCACAAAATGGAATATTATTCAGCAACAAAAAAGAATGAAGTGCTTGACACATGCTATAACATGGATGAACCTTGAAACCATTATGCTCAGTGAAAGACAGTCACAAAAGACCACATTTTGCATGATTCCATTCATATGAAATGTTCAGACAGGCAAGCTTAGAGAGAGAGAAAGTAAATCAGGAGTTGCCTAGGGTTGGGGGAGGGACGACTGGGAAGAAATGGGAGTGACTGCCAATGGGTTGGTATTTCTTTTAGGGGTGATGAAATCGTTCTAAAGTTATAGTGATGGTTGCACAACTCTGTGAATTTAATAAAAGCCATTAAATTGTACACTTTAAATGGTTAATTGTGTGGTATGTGAACATCTCAACAAAGCTATTAGAAAAAAATAGGGAAGGGGCCAGCCCGGTAGCATAGGAGTTAAGTTCACACGTTCTCCTTCGGCAGCCCAGGGTTCACAGGTTCAGATCCAGGGTGTGAACCTAAGCACCACTCATCAAGCCATACAGTGGCAAGCATCCCATGTATGGGGTAGAGGAAAATGGGCACGGATGTTCGCTCAGGGCTAATCTTCCTCAAAAAAAAAAAAGAAAAAGACGACAGAGAAAAAAATAGGCAAGATTAAACTCTATGATGATATAAATCAGAATATAAGTCACATTTGGGGTGAAAGAGTGACTGGGAAGGGACACAAGGGAGACTCCCTAAGTGCAGGTAATGTTCCGTATCCTGTTCTGGGTAGTTACAGGAATAAATTCACTTTGTAAAAATTCATTGAGCCTTACAGCTAAGAGGTACGCACATTACGTATGCTATAGCACAATGGAAAAAAATTTTTTAATGTAACTACAAATTTCAAAAAAATCTCAGAAAACTAAGTTGGAGGTTATTTACTTCCATTTGAGAAATTAGGAACCTAAGAAAATCAAGAGGTTAAAACGACTTGCTTGTGGTCATATTTTAAGTAAATGACAGAATTAAAGCTTGGCTCCTATCTGTGAACAATGTATACCTAAAGAGGACAACCCCTTCCTACTCACAACTACTCCTTTAATCACATTATCATGCTTATTTCCTTCAAAGCTCTTAAAACTACACAAAATGATTTTTATTATATGTTAATTTAATTGCTGTCTTTCCCTAATAAAGTGTAAGCCACCTGACAGCAGGAACCTTATCTGTTCAGCGCAGTACCCCGATACCTAGAACAGAGCCTAGTACACACTAGGTACTTAATAAGTATCCAGAATGAGTGAAATCACCATACCCCAACTCTTTCCTGTGGTTTGTCTGTTTGAAGGTGGGAATTCACTTTGATATCTGTTGGAATAGTAACTGAATGCAAGTCTGGCTGTATTATACTTCAAATACAGTCATTAATATATCTTAAGATGGTTAAAAAATGATAAAGATAAATAATTTAACAATGATGAATTATGGAAAAGCAAAATGGTAGAATGGTTCTATTTAATGATTTGTGACATTTCAAATAATAATGACTTCAATAAAAGAATTAAAAAATAAAATGACAATAATGAAGTATAGAAAAGTTTCTTCTCAAGAAAAAATTATATGTTCATCTACTAAATATCATGGCTTAGATGGCCAGAGTTACTGCATTTGAATGCAAATTTAGCATAAATTACAAGACAATCATGCAGATTTTAGGACAGCCTGGGAAAGCTTTATTATTAGGGGAAAAAAACAAAAAAACAGATTGTGTCCTCTGCCTTAAGAGGACTGATGTGACACTGTCTTGATAGGGATGCTCTATATTCCGTCTTATGTTCTATCTTCCTTATGTTCTTTAAGTGCTTTACTTGAGTAGTTTTCTGTGTGTAAATCATTAATACTTTTATTACACATCCTAAATAAATAAGATTGAAAGATTTAGTAAGTAGCTATTCTCTCAGAAAAGGTATTACGTAAATGAAAAAGTGCTATCATTCAATCTTTTCTTTAAAATCAGACTGTCATAAATTTCTTTAAACTTCCCTTTTTAAAAACACACTTTAGTACATTCCAGATTTTTTTAAAGCCTTCTTCCTATAAAAGTACTGCTTATGCTATTCACACGGCACCTGGTACACATTATCTCCCTTTATTAATATTTATGTATATAGCTTATTTCTGCCAACCACACAGACTTCACTCCCATGCATGCTGTATATTTGTATCCTAAAACTCAGCAAAGTAAGCGCTTCAAGAATGTCTGCTTTAATTGATGAAAAAGGCATCTAAAGTGGTAGAAAGAGCATCAGGTTGGGATTCAGGAAACAATTTCTGCCCTTCATGTTGTGGCCTACAAACAAGCCTCTTTACTATCCCTGCGCTTTGAACTAAATACTTTCTAGGTCTTTTCGAGCTCTGAGAAGTGAGGCTTCTAATGAGTTAGAATAAAACCCAGGTTTTTTCCTATTTTTTTCTCTTAGAAATATTATTTACAATCCTCTTAAAATTGGAATGATAAACCAATTTGTGGATTTATAGCAATCTTTGTGACTCCTCTTCTAGTACCATGTGCAAATTATTCTACCGACCGCTAAAGAGCATTGCTCCAACATGGTAAGCTGGTCTAAGAAATGAAAATAAACCTTGAATAAGGTTTATTATTTAATAAACGTTAAGTAGACTAATAACCTTATTCTAATTCCAGCAGAACTAGTAGCTGATTCTACTAGTTGTCAGGAAAGCAGGTATTAATTCTAGTTTTATAAATAGCATAGATTTCATGTTACCCTCAAGATCCTACTGCTTAGGAAGGAGGAAAACATCTTATTTTGCTATCTTTTTTGTTTTGTCTTCTATTTGATATTTGAAAGTAGAATATTCTAGAGTTAATATAAACCACAATCTCTAAACCCAATGTATTCTTTCTATACACTGTAGCATTTTGGTTTACATACTCTAGGAAATAGGTTCTTCTAAACACATTACCAAAAACAACCAAAAAACCCACAACTCTTCTATATGTTGTGTATTTTTTTTAAGATACTGAAATCAAATTTAGAGACTGAGTTTCAAAAGAGTTTATATAGTGAGAATAACTTAAAATGCCTTAAATTACTTAGATGACTTAAAGTACTTAAATATCCATAAAGCACTGCATAAAGGCTTTTGTTTAAATGCCAGAAAAGTACTGAAAATATATTTTTGTTGATGGAACCCTGAACAGTAAGAGTAAATAAAATAAATACATACAGTGATTTACAATATATAAGAGTGCACATGAAAATATTTGATTATTTAAATGAAAGAGAAAGAACACATAAGCATTGTATAGTTGAATAATGAAACATGTTTATGATCTGAGTCCACTAAGCATTAATTTGACAAATAGATGTAATTATCTTACATAAGACAAATAAGATTTAATAGTGGTTAGGAAATACTATTATCTGACCACAGAGCAACAACTTTGAATCCAATGTCAAAAAGAAATTTACCTTTCTGGGCTTTCATTGTCTGTTCTTCAATTTGCCTTAGACGTTCCATTAGCTCTTCCTTTTCACGTTCTATTCTTTCCTTTTCTTTTTCTGCTATTTCTCTTTTCTTCTTTTCATTTTCTAATTGCGCCCTTAAAAGGAATTGCAAGTGCTATGTTACAAATTAATAAATAGAAATTTTCACATGAAACCTAAGTACTAACTGAATCAACTAAGAAGAAACTAAAGCACAAACATTTTAACAGTTTCATTATATTTAGCTGTGTTCAAAAAATCATACAGTTAAAAATATAGGATTACTCTGTTATATATACATATACTGGATTACAATGTATGTCTTACTGTGGGGTCACAATAAATATAGTCAATGACTGTTAAAAAAATTAATAACAGTCATTTTAGGAAAATTCTCAAAGGACAAATTTAAAAACTGCTAGGAAAGTAAAACTGTCAAATACATCCCTTGTGTGCAAAGCATGTTTTTAAAGCAGACTTGAGTAGGGGAAAAAAAATGGGAGATTTATCACTTGTATAGTCAATGAACTTTGACAATCAATTATACGCTGGCACAAAAGGAATTAACTGCACAGTTGCCATACCCAAGAAAATGCCTTCTTTAGATTAGCAGCAGCCTTCCATTGCGGGAAATAACAAAGGCTTGAAGGGAGCACACAAGGCTGTTTCACTTTAAACAGTAAAATAACCTGAGAGGGCAACAATTTTCAATCATTAACAACAAATTAATACAAGTTTAATTTCTAAGGTAGTACCAATTTATGCTTAGATATAAGTTGGCAAACAGGTTTAATCTCCTTTGACAATTCCATTCGAATGATGGTAGGTATCTAATGCTGTTTAAAAAGATCTTCATGAGAGCTCGGTGGGGAAGACTGCCTCCATCATGTACCTGCATCTCCCATGAGCCTATGAGACTGCTTCTTTTAATATAGCCAAATTCATTCATCAAACACCTACCAAGAGCCCACCACAGGTCAGAGTCTATGCTGAGAGCCAGAAATATAAAGATTATAAAGAAAAGAGTTAGAGGAGACACTATGTTAACTATCAGATAATATTGTCTACTTAGGTTTAATCAATACTCAATATTCCCATTACTTTAACAGAAATAAATTTTTTTTTTTTAGTAAAAAAGAAAGCAATATGATTTCATCTATGAAATTTATCTGAGTATATCTAAATGTTGTCAAAAAAGACATCACTGCCATCTGGTGTCAATTCTGAATTTCAGGCACAAAATCACGTAGCTTCTCAACTTCCAGTCTCTAATAAACTTAGTGGCAAAGTTTTATCATCAAAGTTTTTTTCCTTACCCTATAAACATAAACTTAAAAATTCCTGCAGCTCCTAGATACCTATCTGCCCCCAACACTGAAAGAGAATCCAGCTTTGGGGCAAACCGGTAGGGCTGTGACAAGCCAGCAAGAGGTACGACAGATAACTGACGGTGTCCTCCAGTGCACTTAAGACAAAACATGAAGTCTAAGGGGCACCACACCTCCCCTACTGGTTTTAGTCAATCTTCAAGCATTTAAGAATCCAGGGCCTGGAGTTCATTCATGCGGGGAGAGCTCTCCCTCTGTTCTGGAGTTCCCTACAAGGTACTTTCTCAACAGCCAGGAGGAAGAGTCAACAACTAACCCCGCCCCCACCTCAAGACTTGGGCTCATTCTGAATGGAGCACCTTCACCTCTTTCTTCCTATCCTATTTCAATCTACAGAGGACATACAGGCAAAGAGATCTAAGGACTTGGGAGCCCCCACCCCTCTAGAAAACATGAGTGATAGAGGCCTAAAAGAATGCTTGAGTTCCTAATTTCCTTGAGCAAAAGGGCCTGGGGGCCGCCACTGAGGCTAGTCCCCTTTCAGCCTTCTTTAGAAAGCTGAAAAAGCAGGCTGTTCATGAAAGCAAAAGCACAGTACTTTTCAAGCAATTGGCAGTATGAGCTACTCGTTTCCATGCCCGCCTGCCTGTCACCCCAGACCACTGATTAGCCCACCCGACCACATGCCAGCCTCTGCTCAATCACATCTAGTGCTGCCACAGATCCGCAAGACAGTTAGCTTCCTCTTTCCTTCCCTGAGGCCCTGAGACACTTCACAAAGACTCACACAAACCAGATCTCAAGACCCAAAGGCAAAAATATCCATGAACTCAGAACCTTCCAGGTCCAGCTCTGGCACATATATGGTCCCCTCTGGAGACGGTTGCTGGTTTTATTTAGCTTTTCCCAATTGATGTTTCATTTGTTCTTCCTCAAGGATGGAGGACGTAAGGAAATATGGAAGCAGGAAAAAAGACTGAAGGTAACCTGGCCACAAGCAAGTTGGGGGCGGGGGCAGGGAAGGTTAGTCTTCATACTGAAAAATGAAATAAACTTACAGCAGATATTTAACTTGATTACAACATTTAAATCATTTTGCAAAGTTTATTCTGCTGCACTCTTATGAGGCTTGTGTCTCACATCTTATAAGAATTCTCCCCTGACTACAGCCACCACCAACTAACACTCCATTCAATTGACACAAATGCCTTTGGCTCTCCACATCCCTTAGTGGTCCCTAGTTTGGGCAGGCCTGTCTTGTCTCCCTTATGAAACTGGAAGCGCTTGCTTTGCTCCCAACACTGCTCACTTGGGAGGACCAACCTGGTTCACTGGCCCCTAGGCATGCTGTGTATATTCTTTCTCTCTACACATTTGCTTATGGTGGCTTCCTCTTCTGAAAGTATCTTCCCCTTCTCTCTAACTCTTAAGCCTATTTCTAACTTCCAAGCCTTAGGAAAGTCCCACTCCCCCCATGAAGCCTCTGGTGATTACTCTAAACCACAGACATAAACATTTTTATGTAGAGTCTGGGTTTGGAAACACTCATTTGACCAAGCTGTTCTATTTCAAGAATGTAAATAACATATTAATAAACTATCAATTATCTGTACAACCCGTAAAAAATATTTTACAATATCTTACTTTTTAAAGACTATCAGATGAGCCCAATTACATTTTTCTTAAGTGAAGATCAAAAACTAATTTATACTCAACTTCTATTCAGACTATATTAATAATATTAATAATTATTATAGGGGCCAGCCCGATGGTGTAGTGGTTGGGTTCTGTGCTCCACTTCAGCAGCCCAGAGTTCACAGGTTCGGACCCCGGGCGCAGATCTAGCACCGCTCATCAAGCTACACTGTGGCAGCATCCCACATAAAACAGAGGAAGACTGGCACAGATGTTAGCTCAGCAACAATTTTCCTCAAGCAAAAAGAGGAAGACTGGCACCAGATGTTAGCTCAGGGCCAATCTTCCTCACACACACACACACAAATTATAATAGCTACTATTTATTAAGCACCAGGCACTTCGCTAAATGTTTGTGTACCACTGTCATTATTTCTCACAAAAACTCTTGAAGATAGAACTGTTATTTTCATATTAAGAGTAAGTGAAGAGTGGCTCAGAAATTACTTGTTCAACAATGTTAGAAAGAGGATTCAAATCCAGACTTATCTAGTTCCAAAGCCTGTATTCTTTGTGTGGCACCAGCTGCGTCCTAGTGATATAGGCAGCCAGTCATGACACAGAATATCCCACAGCTAACCTACAACTGGCGCATGGATATCTGACTCTAAATAGTAAATCTGAGGGTCTCAGTTTTTAAATTTGGTAACAATTTTTCCCACACACAAAAAAATTTAGGAATTACAGAATGAGTCATTATTCAATTTGGATGTAAATAACTTAAGAGCACAGACTACAGAGACCAACAACCCATGGTATATAATCTCATTTCACTGCAAAAATTCCAAAGTTGTAAGAGCTATGGGGAGAGAATATGGCCACATATACCAAAGTACTGTAGGGCAAGAGGCTTCCTTGCTGCCCCTTCCCAACTACTGTTCTAGCCCCAGAGATTCCAGCAGCACAGACAGCATATCTCTGAGCATTCCCCAAGTATGTCTGCTGGCTACTTTGCCAATGGGCTTGACCAAAACTGTTTCCACATATACAGTTGTCATTTGTCTCTCTCTGACCTATAACTCAGGGAATAAATGAAGACTTGGCATGCCATTTCTGAAAGATCTGCCAAATCACTCTGTAGCTAGACTAATATAAAATATCCTCTAGGCATGCAAATGAATTAAACAGCTACCGAATTCCTACTGTGTACAAGATAGCCAATAAATGCTTGCTAATGAAAGGTTCTAAAATTTATCCAAGACAAGAACCATGGCACTGTTATTTGTGTCAAAAAAGAAACTTAAAAGTCTTCCACTTTCATTTAAGCCTTAGAGTAACTCAAATACAGCACCATCACCAAACAGTACTTATTAATCATACTACATATACTAGAAGCCACACAGCACTCCTCTCTGTGTGTGAGAAATAAAGGACAAATAGACAAATATATTTAAGTTAAGAATGTAAATAATATATCAACATTACAGACAAGCAGAACAGTGAGGACATATTATGGAGTGATGAATATGAGAGAGAATTTATCATTTAACTCATGATGGGAGACCTGAAAGACAGGATGGGAAGGGAGAAAGAAGGTGAGGGTGGAAGGAAGGAAAAAAAATCTTTGTCTTTGAGAAGCAGATGGAAAGGCTATGATAGATAAGAATATATAGAAAGTAAAGCCAACAAAGAACTATTTTAAAAAGCACATTAAGGGGCTGGCCCTGTGGCCGAGTGGTTAAGTTCGCGCGCTCCGCTGCAGGCGGCCCAGTGTTTCGTTAGTTCGAATCCTGGGAGTGGACATGGCACTGCTCATCTCATCACACCACGCTGAGGCAGCGTCCCACATGCCACAACTAGAAGAACCCACAACGAAGAATACACAACTATGTCCGGGGGGCTTTGGGGAGAAAAAGGAAAAAATAAAATCTTAAAAAAAAAAAAAAAAAAGCAGCACATTAAGACTAGAGCCACAGGGGCCGGCCCCGTGGCCGAGTGGTTAAGTTCATGCCCTCCGCTGCGGGAGCCCAGGGTTTCACCTGTTCGGATCCTGGGCGCGGACATGGCACCGCTCGTCAGGCCACTTTGAGACGGCGTCCCACATGCCACAACTAGAAGGACCTGCAACTAAGATATACAACTATGTACCGGGGAGATTTGGGGAGATAAAGCAGAAAAAAAAACCTGTCTTTCCTTGATGAGTGCTGTTCCAAAAAAAAAAGACTAGAGCCACAATGTGATCCTAAGCCACATGAGAGCAGTAAAAAAACGACAGAGCACAGTCAAAGTAACAATCCAACTCAGTATCTTTAATGGTGGGGTCAGGAATTACTAGCAAGTTTCATGACTATATAAAAAATGTTTTGTGATGCAGAAAACTTCTCTAAGGCACACAACTTGAGGGAAGCAATCTGAATTAATAAAATATCTGAATTACCTAGAACATTTAAGAAAAAAATACATCATTAAATACAAACGCTGCAAGTATAGGCAGCAAAATTATATGTAGCAGAGGGTCTATTTAATTATTAGATTCAAATCATGTTATTTTCCATATGTTTGAAATATGTAAGTTTATAAATGTTTAGAGTTCCTCAATTTTTTTTCTTTAGGATCTATTCTATTTCTTAGATTATCTTGTTATTCTACAAAGATGTTCTCATTAAACGTTAACTTTAGTTTGGCCTCTTGAATTTTTTCGAAGAAAGTATAAAGTCTAAACTGATCTAGAATCAGATTTGAGAAGTATGTTGCTGGACCCAGTATTCTGGTTCCAGGCTCAACAAGGATTTTATTCAATATCTTTCCATTTCAAAAACTCTCAATTTAATATATTTAACAGTATCTTTTTTCGAAAGTCTAAGTGAACTGTGTTTTTTGCTAAAAAGATCAGTGTCCTTGGTAGAGAGTACTAGTATTATTCCACTCTGTACAGTAACTTTTCACTTGAGTTCTATGATGACACTGACACTGTTTCAAAGCAAAATATTCAGCACATTCTTATCCTGAAAAATTAAGAAATACAAGTCACTAGCAAAACACACTTGAAAATTTCAAACTACTACATACAAACCAATGTCTGTGAGTGAAAAGCATGATAAAAGAAAAGCAAATCAGTGAAATCATGAAAATCTACTTTCTCAGAAATATCTGTCAAAGATTTCTAACTTGAAAATTATAGTTATTTTAAAAGAGAACAGTGATAATACTGCCATTCAATTTTAATACAATGAAAATAACATAAAAATGTAAATTCAAAGTTAAAGAAACTGAGCATTCTTAAATTTTAGGTAGCTTACTCCTTTTAAGAATGGAAGGCTGTAAATCCCGTACCTCTCCAGCTGCTTCTGGTGTTTCTCCTCCCTAGCCTGGGCCTTCATCTGTTGTACTTCAATGGTATCAGGCTTCCTTCTTCGCATGTACAGTTCATGGTTTCCCATACATAATGCCAAAATCCGCTTGTTGATTCTCAGACGAGGTGCATAAAAAACAAAATCCTAAACATAAAGTATTCTGAATTTAGTATCTTCCTGAAGGATAGTCTCTCTCACAATAACCTGTACTAAACTTCAATATGTGGTATGAATTCTAATGTCATATTGCATATAGTTTAGAAATCATAAAACTTCGTAACTCATAGTGAGTATGCCATGCCTTCACATGACTGGTTCCTCACCTCTTCCTTCCCTACCAGTCTTGTGGAGAGGCTAATGATCTTAACCTAACACATTAAATGTCATTTATTCTTTTTTCTTCTCCAAACTAACGATGAGCATCGGTTCCTTCACCTCAGAGGAAGAACTTCTGTTTGTTTTGCCTTTTGCCATTAATCCCAAAATTGGTTGTTTGTTCAGGGCTGTCAAGTTTTTTAACCTGGAAATGTTCTCCTTATCTTTTTGTCTTTTCAATAACTAATTGAATACTAGAGTATACTTGACACTAGAGGAATCAAAGAATCTATTTAAACAGATTTCTTAAGTTTAAGGCTTCGAGTTACAGAAACACCAAGTTCATAATGCAAAACACTATAAACCATTAATTAGAATAGGGCTACCTCTGATACATTTCTAGTCACCAACAAACAAGTTTTTTTTAATTGCTTCTTAGGGAAATGGTGATTGTTTTCAACCACCTCCTAATAAATATTACCTACTTCGTAAAATAAAACTCTAATATGTTGTAAAAAGTTAATTAAAACCTTGTATTTTTCATAACATTCATTATTTCCTGACTAGGAAAGTTAAACTATGGAAAGAGAATGTTCCTCAGGAGCAATCCAATAAATGAAAAATGCCATTCTTCAAGTGATATCACAGCAAAGTGGCAGAAATTTAGAGTTAATACATAAAACATGTAAAAGAATTTTACTTACAGGTGCCTTTTTGTCGATTGGCTTTATAACAAATTTTTTGTCATTAAATGAAATATTTCTGATTTCACTCCAGGGAAAACCAATTTTAGGTGTTAACCTTAAAAAATAAAAGCATCCCTTTAATTAAAAGCAGGAAACCATAGACAAAATTCATAATAACTTTTTTGGGGCCAATTTAACTGAATGAGTAGTCTTAAAGACTTCCAGACTTTCAGAGTGTATTAACTTACTCCTAACACACTGGTGATCTTATCTTTTAAGGAGAAATTTGATAAATTAAATCACATAAAATAAAGAATAACTAGCCAAAGACTTCATAAATGTGTCATGAACCTTGAAAGCATTATACTTATTTTCCTAAAATTACCTAGAAAAAAAAGGAACTAGAACATGGAACTGAGCCTCTTGGGGTTTGCACCAGCTCTATGTAGACTCAAGCTGCTACAACTATCAGTTTAAATATGTTTAAGAAGAGAGGGGAAAAAAGAAAGCCTTTATAAATTTTCATGTGAATTATGGACTAAGTTACTAAATATAAAAAAAATCTTATTTCCTTCCTATGTTTAGTTTTAGTTTCATTATTTCATTATTATTTCAATAATTTTCAAAATAAAGAAAAAGAAGAAAAGATTTTGTCCACAAAAATTAAAATGTTTGGATATCTGTGACTATAACAAAACACTAAACTTTCAGTGCACTTTAAAAGGATTAATTTTATAGTATGTGAATTAAATCTCCATAAAAAAATTTTAAACACTCACATACACAAATGTTTGGATAAATGGTAGAGCTAGAATTTCAACTCTAAGATTATACAACAGTTGTCCCCATTTACCACCCTACAGACAAAGATTTAGGGAATCAGATTGGAACTAGTAGTTTTGTTTCTGTCTTTCATATTATTTTACCTTTTGTGACTAAATGTGTCACTGTTGTCCAATAACAAGAGTGTGAAATGACTGTGACACCTATGCTGGTCAAAAGACATCTTTTGTCAGTCTTCTGATAACAGAGCATGAATGTCTACCTATTTATAGTCTTTTTAATTCTTAAGCAGGCTAGAACCTGCAGCACAGTGAATAATTTTTTCTACAGAAAACATTCTGTACTCAATATGCATGTGTTATACTGCCCTCAAATGGCCACTGAGATAAGTCAAAGTTATCTGTTAAAAAAGAGATTGCTAAAACACAATCTTTTTTTTTTTTTAAAGATTTTTTTATTATTTCCTTTTTCTCCCCAAAGCCCCCTGGTACATAGTTGTATATTCTTCGTTGTGGGTCCTTCTAGTTGTGGTATGTGGGACGCTGCCTCAGCGTGGTTCGATGAGCAGTATCATGTCCGCGCCTAGGATTCGAACTGACGAAACACTGGGCCACCTGCAGCGGAGCGCGCGAACTTAACCACTCGGCCACAGGGCCAGCCCCTAAAACACAATCTTTTAAAGATAAGAGTACACTATGTTTACATGCTACTTTGAAAAATTCTAAAGTAATCTCTTCATATAATTCTCACAACAATCCTAAGAGGTGAGCCTGGCTTCTATGAATTTCAGAGTTAATAACCTGACCAGGGTAACAGACGGTAATTAGTAGCAGAGCCGATAAGAGAACCAAACTAAGCTTTTAAAGTTGTACTCTACTTTGAATTTTTAAAAAATTGTTTTGGAAATTTAAGTAATAGATAAATACACTCTTATCATAAAAAGAAACTGAACCATTACAGCTAAGACCAAAGTCCCCTTGGTCCCCAATCCCCAATCCCTCCCACCCTGAGCCAATTCCCTCTCATCTTCCCCATCTTCACCTGTATCCATATCTATAATGGGTACTCTCATAGAAACAAACTCAAGAATTTTCAAAATAAAGAAAGAGAAAAGATTTTGTCCACAACAATTAGTCTTGAAGTCATTTTTGCTTTTTAAAAAGTTCAAAATTTTCTCTTCTTAATGATATAGCATTTTCACTTGCTTTGTAACATAAATGAAAAAAGGTATCAGAGCAAAATCAGTAAAATGCTCTCCTTTGGAGTCATTGTATAGGCTTAGAAATGTGTATTTTATTAGATATCTGTAATAACGAAACTAAAATTCTAGAGCCAACCCAGAATAAAGAGAAATACCTCAGGAGAAGGCATTACTGGCATAGACTTGGAATGCTTATGTGATATGGCAAATAAATTAAACAAAGGTATAAAGCAATTGTGGCTATTATTCCTGAAAAGTGCTATAAGAATCTGATGTATTTTATATTAATACAAAAATTAATACCTGGTCAATTTCAAAATAAAATTACACTGTTCAATATGCTTAAATACAGGGATATTCTATTTTATTGATGTCTAAAAACATTCAAAACAATTCCTATTAAGATAAATATTCAAAAAAAGGTGTTATAAAATACAATAAATTATATATCTATTAATTATATTGTCTCACTGCTCCTGATTTCTTTATATGTTATTTTCAAATTCAACCTACATGCCAGGCATAACATTTAGGGAATTATTCTTCACCTCCTGAGGGAACAAATTTTAATTAAATTACTAGACACAAACTCACAAGAGATCAAGAAGCATGCTTTAAATAAAAGTGAACCATCCCATGTGGTAAATACACTGAGAAGTAAAACTCTGAAACTGCAAGATGTTGAGAAAATGGAAATATGATACCTGAAAGCCTACATGGCATTAATTAATCTTTAATTTGAAAAAAAGAAAGGAGGAAAGGTAACCAAGCCAAAAAAACTTTTCCAAACAGAACAGAAGATTAAAGCCATAAAGACCACTAGTTCACTATGCAACAAATTTACTTACTTGTCATCATGCTCATAAATATTCAGACCCAAAGCATCAACGCCTAGCCACAATTCAGTTCCCTTTTTGTTTTTTATTTCAAAATAGTTGACTCCATACATTTCTAGATCTTGTGCAATCTTCAAGTATTCCATCATAGAATCTTCCCTGTTGAGATAAAACTTACTGTAATATATTTAAGTGAGTTTCTAATATCAAACAAATTACAAAAATACTTGGGATTAAAATTTAGTGCTTTATGTTTATTCATATAAGTCAAATGATCTTTTGGAAATAATCTGATATATTAATTAATGTTATGAAATAAAAATACTTTAATTTGAGGAAAAATACTTAAGAAAATAGCCACTCAAATACCTTAGCATTCCCCTATGTTCTTCATGCCAGTTCTGTATTCTTTCTTCCCACTGTTCTTTTGTCAGTTTGTGTTGTTCCAAAACTCTATAGGAGAAAAAAATCTTTGAAAATGCCTTGATGATTCAAAATCAATACTCTTTTAGAAGTCTAGAATCATTCAGTACCTTGACTGTAGTGGTTGTCATACAAATCTATACACATGATAAAATTACACAGAACTAACAAATACACACACACAAATGACTACATGTGAAACTGAGGACATCTGAGTAAGGTTGGTGGATTGTATCAACATCAATGTCTTGGTTGTGATATTGTAGTAAAGTTATGCAAGACGTTACCATTAGGGAAGGTTGGGAGAAGGATACACAGGATCTATTATTTTTTACAATTGCATGTGAATCCACAATTATCTCAAAATAATGTTTCCAAGATCCTGATATTACTTTAAATAACACGTTTTTAAAATAGTTATTAAACAGATAGTTTACGGGAATGCAAATGTTTCAAATGAATAAAACATTAGACCAAAAAATGACTTTCTCATTATTAACAGAAAAATTAAGAGAAGAACAGATCGAAAATCAGAATTCAAAGGCCTTCATTATTCTTTTACTTTATGTATTTACTTTTCTTAGAGGCTAAGTTGTGTTAAAAGGATACAAGTAAAAAGTCATACTTTTTTCATGACCCCATGCCCTCCAAAACTTATTAGTTTCTTTTGTATCCTTCCAGTGTCCCTTATGCTAAAATAAGCAATATAAGCAAACAAACATTCTTATTTTCTACCACTAACATTTTAACACCAAATCAGCAAATTCAACATGCATATAAATTTACCTGCTATGTAAACTATAGATTATGTATTTCTATTCTCTTTGGGTCATATAACAATAACTATCCATCTTTCTTTATTGGTGAATCCTCAGATCCTACTTTACTGATAGCAAAAGCTGTGGTGTTAAAATATTATTGTTCTACTATGTAAATATTTTACATGAAACCTAGGGATTTCTTGGCAGTATAAAGGAATCTTAGCATGGAATCTTCCCTTGGACAAGTTACTATTTAGAGTGGATTCCATAATGGGGTCTCGGACCATTACGTTCCTATTACACACTGCTCCCTTCTCTATATAGCCTCTTTTAGGCTCTTGCTTTTGGGGAGAGGAGTTTTGTCTTTCTTCCTAGAGTACTTATGTTTCCACATTTTTCTTATCTTTATACTCTCTTGCTATATCTTCATATTCTCTCTATACTCTGTGCTCACCAAGAGGAATACAATCAGCTTTGTGGGCCTGATCAGTGCAGCCAACTGCTGGTACCATGATGTTAACCAAACCTGAAAGTATGGGTTAATTAAATTAGATGCCACTAAGATTTATGTTTTAGCTTTTATATCCTGCATTTCAAATCTCATTTATTTGCATTTTGCATAATGTACTTGCATCATTAATCTGCATAACTAGTTTGCAGGTATCCAAAGATTCCCACCCTCTGGTTCTTCTGTCCAGAACAAAGGAGTCCTTCTTCATACCCAATACTAATTTGTTCAACTTGACTTTAAATCTGTCTATCTGGGCTTTTAAATGACTTCTCTCTCCATTGTCTTAGGATCTTTACTCCATCATTTATGACATGGGACATATTTACTGCCCCCTGCCTACATATATTATCATATATACTTGTCTGTGTTACAGAGGGCAAAAACCACATCCATGTTGCTTACCACTACACGCCCAGTGCCAGAACTGAAGAGGTACTCAAAAATTTGTAGAGTGAATAAAAAAATTAAAATAAATCCTTTTCCATCTTTTAAAGAACATGCCTATAAACCCATGTTTCCCTACACCTAAGTTTTGTTTTTTTTTTCTTTTCCACAGCCAAACTTTAGAGAACTGTCTATATTCACTATCCTTCCTTTCCATAGCTTGCATCCACTGCCCCTTGTCTACCACAATCTGGCTTCAATCATGAACACTCTACTGAAACTGCTCTTACTAAGGTCACTAGCAATCTCCTTATTGTTAAAGCCAACAGATACATTAGTTCTCCACATACTCGACCCCTATGTCCTGTTCGACACTGCTGACCAGTCTCTCCTTGAAGCATTCTTTTATCTTGGTTTCCCATGATGTAACACTCCTCTAGTATTATTCTTGACTCTGGCCATTTTTTCTCAATATACTTTACAGGAACCTCTTCCTCTGTACACCAAAGTTAAGTTTCAACAAGGTCTGTCCTAGGCCTTTTTTCTCATTCTATATGTACTTTCAGGTCCATCTTTTTCATTCCTATGGGTTAATTATCATCTATTTGCTGATTACTCCCAAAACTCTATCTATAGTTCAGACTGCTCTCCAAGATCCAAACTCACATCCACAAATGAATACTAGCTATCTCTCTTGGTTATACTATAGATTTTTCAAACTCAGTATGTTCAAAACTAAAATCTTCCTCCTCTGAAATGTATTCCATCTCCCCATATCTTGGCAAAAAGGTATTACCAACCACCAAGATGCCCAAGTTAGAAATCTGGCATGTAAAAATTTATGTATATCTAGCTCTTTTTAAAGGAGAGAGATACTATCTGGTGAAGCTGATTATCCATATCACCAGAGAGCTGAATTTACTGTAAGAGAACAGACTGCTTATCTGGATTTTTCAATACAAGAATTAAAAGCATCTAGTAAAATCATCAAATTATTGCATCTGATTTATAATTACTAAATAACCTTCTGATTACTAATTTCCCTCCAAATACTTAGATAGTGAGAAAAAGTGTGCCATATATCATTCATGGAATAAATTAATCACTGTGAAGGTATTTTCTCCATTCTAAACCAAAAAATTAGTATTCAGACTTTACGAGTAAGTCTCTTTTATGCGTAGATAGCTGGAATTAGTCCTCAGAGACTATCGACTTGAAGAACACTTGATTGCCTAGACCTTCAGTTAAAGACCAAATCCTGAAGAACATGGGCTATCTTCCTTTTTAAATAGAGCAAGTTATAGCACACATGTATTCAAAATAAAGAAGTTAATTGTGCTTACATGTGATCCAGTGTTTAAAAGAGGTTTTTTAATCATACGGACAATTAAATGTAACCCAATTAATTCAGGTGCTGATAGAACACTGAAAGAATATCTATGTTATACTTGTTGAGATAAAGTATGCCTATTCTTTTATGAACAATTAAGAAATTTAAGAGTAATTTATCTTAACATATTACCTTATGTATTGATTTAAAACCTAATCCACTGTGCATTTTACTATATATACATTATACCTCAATTAAAAACAAGAACTAACCCTTATCTGAAATGGAATTTCTACTGAGCCAGTAATCAATTACTCAATCCAGTGCTTAAAAAAATCCTGAGACAAAGAATTTGGGGTTGGAATAATAATCAAAACCAAACATACAGACTAAAAGTATCTCATAATCCTGATTCTTATAGTGAACACGCATTATTTTACTCTCTAAGATAACTACTACTGTGCTAAAACAGTCTAACACTTAATGATCAAATATTAAAGCTACTGTACTCAATGGTACCTTAAAAGCATATATCAATACAATTTATTAGCTAAAAATAAATGTTAATGCCTACCACCAAACGAAATTAATAAAAGTCAACATGAAGTAGAACGTCTTTCTTCATATTTCACACCTATGAAAAAGAAACTACATCTAAGAGTTTAAACACTATGAGGAAGTGGTGCATGTAGAACTGAAATTTTAGGTTAATAATATACAGTTTTGCATTTACATAGAAATTTCAAAATTCAGCAATTTGGACGAAGAACAGTAACAACTTCTTTCCAGGTTCCAAGAGAAAGATCTCCGAGTGCACTCTAAGGTCAGGGACATGTGTGCTACTAAAATCAAGAACTGAGATATTTAAAAGCAATACTTGACGTCATAATTTCTAGATTTCATAAAAAATACGACTAACTAACACATATCACATTTTACAGCTAAAACTGTAAATCATAGAGTTCATGACTGTAAGCATAAACTTTAAGGTAAGCAGACCAGAATTATTATCCCCATTTTGCAGATTCACAGATTTTAGACTGTGCACCTAAGCTCACATAACTAGCAAAGGATAGAATCAGTACTCAAAATCTAGGTCTTCTAATGATTTTTTCCTATGCCATGCTACTTTAAAATAACTGTTACAGAGGCAGCAATATACTGCAGATAAGAACAGAGCACTAGACTAGGAGCCTGAAAATGGAGTTTAAAATGCCTTTTAAAAAGTTAGAAAGTTAATTTTAATTCTGTGGAAAAAACATAGCCTGGCACTCATTACTGTCAAAAGCATTTACTAAGCACCTATCTGCCTGTGTAAGAACTTACCAAGCAGCAACAGTCATATCCTCCCTCAAGCCCAAATTATCTCTACCTCCATTTATTATTGCTTATCTTGTGGAAATGAGGAGAGAAGAGGCAGACAGCTTATGTAATTACAGAGTATATAAACCTATGTAGCTACTAGGCCATGATTTCCAAAAGCCTACTCTCTAATCCAGCTGGAAACCTAAAATCTAAAAAAAAGAAAAATCTATTTACAAACTTCTGAAATGTAATTTTCCAAAGGATATAACATAAAAGCATGTTTCACTTACCGCTGGGGTAGGAGTCTATCATTAGCCAGGTAGCCTGGTTTATGAATCTCTTTATTATAATCTCCATACTTGGCTTGCACAGCATAGGAAGCCAAAAGAACAGCAGTTTCTGGCGGGCAATATATCTCATCATTTAAGATTGCTTCTTTAACTTGCAAGAAGAAAAGTCTCTGGGTTATTTCTTGAATTAATTCCTCAGAAACATCTTCAGGAAAGAATTTAGCTCTAAATTTGAACTGTAAAGGATTCTCTTTTTTAACATCTTGCTGTGTCACCTGAAACAGTAATTTCAAGTATAATCAACAAAAGTCGTAAGTTCACAATAACTGAACCTAGTCATATCCAATTCTTTTTGGAAGAAAGTAAGATGTGAAACATAAGTAATATTCTAAATCTGTAAGTAAGATTCCAGTGTGTAAGATTCAAAACCTATAAAAAATATAACATGTGAGAAAAAAGATTCTACGTTCACAAATGTGAGCTGTAACTCATAGATCCTATCTAATAACCACATTGAAACTTGTCAAGAAGCTTATCCTGCAGATGTTTAAATCAAAGTCAAAGTACTAAGTTACACATAGTATTTCATATGTGTTCAGTTTTCAAATAGGAAAAGTAAATATTTCTATTTTCTAAGATGCTAAGTTGATGGTGCCTTATGGAATTAAAAGACATGATACCTTGAATGATCCACAGAGATAATTGGAAAAGAAAGCCTGAAACCATGAGGACCCTGAGCTCTTCTGGCACAAATTCATCATCAGGATAACTTCAAAGTAAGTTAATTATTAGCTAATGGTATCATACATATTTTACCTTTTTATTTAGCTTAAGCCACGTAGAATAACCTTTGCTGTCCACATACTGCAGCCCAAAAAACCAGACCTCACGCAAGCCAACTGTTTTCACCACCTTAAAAAAAAAGTCAATTTCAGTTCAGCATTCACATTATAACTAAATGGCACTACACTTCAAAAGAAGAACAAAACTACAAATGTATTATAGGTATATTCCTTTGTTATAGAGAAAATCTTTCCTAAATTTAACATATTAATTAAAAGAACATTTCTGAAAACTTAAATTCAGATTTTATATATTAAATTTTGTAGCATCCTTTCAATCCTATTTGTTGATCCACTTTTTTCTACTTCCTTTCCTTTTCATCTCCCATCATGACCCAACAGATAAGAGGAGCCTGGGAAAGAGACACAGAGCTGTCACAATCCTTTCCTATTTCAATTTATCCCCATAGGTAGGCAAGGCAAATAGTATCATCCTGGCGATGAGAGTTTCTGAGGACATTTACATGCCACACCCCAGGTTCTCCAGCTGGTGATTTCACCCCCAACTCCTGCTTCCCTTCAGTCACCATCATAGATTCTATGTTCTTCCCTCAGGGAGCAAGAAGCCGTTCTTGGAACATCCCATAAATTTCACCTTTCTACAGCTTTACTCACACTTTTCCCTCTGCCTAGAATGTCCATTCTGTACTTTTACCACCTGTTGAATAACTTATTCCTCAAGGCCCACCTCAACTAACATGCCTTCTGTGAATGAAGCTCTCCTATCATCAACATAAAATTAATCACTTGTTCCTTGATGTCTCCATAGTACTTGTCTATACTGCTATTAGAACATTTACTCTACCATAATTAACTATATTATTAGTAGTGTGTCTATTACCCTCCTTGACTGTTTAAAACCAAGGACAGAGATTACTGCCTTATCTTACTATCCATGTCATCTCAAAGAATGATTATCCTGTGGTAGGCACTCAAAGTGTCAGAGCAAATGAAGTGGGGAGCCAGGCCCCACGTGAAGGACTGTAATAACGCTTAACAAAAGCATATTGTTTTTCTTTTAATCTATATTTAAAATGAAGGAAATGAGCCAGGGGAGGTGAGAACTTATCACATTTTAAAAGCTTTAGAGAAAGATTAACATTAGTTCTTAAGCAATGAACATTCTTCATTAAAAAAAATCTAAAAATATGCCAGGCTTTTGGTTTCAAGACGGCAAACTGAACCCTTCAGTTTATTTTCCCTCTCTTGAAAAACTTCACTGAAGTGACACATAAACAAAAAATAAAAATAAGGAAGAACAGGGGCTGGCCACGTGGCCTAGTGGTTAAATTTGGTGACCTGGGTTCGGTTCCCAGGCGTGGACCTACACCACGCATCAGTGGTCATGCTGTGGCAGTGATCCACATATAAAATTGAGGAAGACTGGCACAGATGTTAGCTCAGGGCACATTTTTCTCAAGCCAAAAAAGAAAGAAAGAATGAAAAAATATTCAGCTGTGCTAAGAAAGGTTATCATCAAAAAACCAAAAGCTGAGAAATTTTTGGATGATAAGGCATGTAAAGATTCATAATGATACAAAAGCAGATCAATGCCAAATAACCAAAACTTGAATGTGGACAAAGGAGATCCCAGATAATTTAACTTTGGCAAAAGATCGGCTGTCCCAGCAGAGCCACAGAAAACATTCCTGTTCAGAGTGGCAGGAGTGGGGAATTTACACGGGTCAAGAGCAACAGAGAGAAGTGTATCAAAGAAAGTGGCCTCAGCTTTTGCCTCCAATCTTTGTGTGGTTCACAATGCTGTCTAAGTCAAAGGAGGGTTTGCCACAATGGGCACAAGGGACAGTACCTTAACTGACTTCAGACTATCACAACACCAGGAAGAATAAAAGAGCTCAGTTGTGAGATTCCTTAAGAGGCCGTTATCTCCTAGCAGCTCCTTCCCTACTTTTGGAACTGTTCTCAGAAACTTTCAATCACATCATTTTATAAGTAAAAAAAAATGCTTAGGCATATAACTACCATATATATTTACTTATAAATTATACAAACGCTATCACACTAATACATTATAAAGCATATATTTTTTAAAAAATTTGAAAGAGGAAAGACAAAAACATAAACAGACATTTTAACATTTTTTTCTTGCATCCTAACAGATCATGTTGAGCACTCTCTGGGGATTTGAATACTCTCTAATCACACAGGTAGAAGCTGGAAGAGGAGGCCAGTAAAGGAAGAGTCAGCAGGGAGCAAACCAAAGGAGCTCCAGCACTCAACTAGAGCCCCCTGCACACAGCAGCTGGCCTCCTGCCAACATCACAATCAGAAGCGAGGCTTTGCTACAGGTGGACTCAGGTGTCTACGTACCCTCATTTGAGGATGACTCCTCTTCCAGCTCTGCTCCTGGCCCGACCCTCAACCTGTCTACCCGCCAGCTCACCCCATATACTCACTACATCCAAGGGAAAACCTGCTTTTAGATGCTCAGATTCAGGCTCAAGAGAAGTGTCAGGAAACAGAACACTGACTAAAAGAATTAACTACTGAGGGAGTCATAACAAATAACAATAGTCCTTAATCTAGACCTTCATTTACAATATGAAATATACGTATGTTGTGTGTATGTACGTATGTATCAAATACTGTTCTATGTATTTTACATGGATGCTCATTTAATTCGCATAACAACCTTCTGAGGGAGTAATGTTATCATCATCCTAATTGTACAAATGAGAAAAATGAGGCAAAGAGAGTAATCTGTCCAAAGTCAAACAGCTAGAGCTGGGACTCAACTGCAGGCACCACAGCTCCAGAGCCCACACTTCTAAACTGTTATACATTACTGCACTATAGTAAATAAGGTCTCATGTTCCCTGGTATCCAAACTAAAGCAAACCTACTTAATAAAAAACACATACTTCTCTGTATCCAATACCAAAAAGGCCCACTTGCTGATTAGTTCTTGACTACCACAAACATTTCACTCACTGTAAATAACATTTCAACTTGCTATAAAGTACAATAAATGCTAACTCCATTCACATTTTTATTCAAATAAGTAGGCAATATATTTACAAACAGGAGGTCAAGAAGAATCAACAGAAGGGGATATTTGCTCACAGGTAAAATATCCATAATGTAGGATCATGTAGCTGCTTATGATTTTGCTTTAAAAATTCGCTCACTCACACAAAAACAGTCTTTCATCCTCCAAAAAAGACCTTATCAGGGCTTTCAAGATCATTAATCACCTAGTCAGGAGATTAAGTATACTACTTTGTCAAAAAAAGAAACCACCCTATTAACTTTTTAAAATTAACAAAATTTTAAAATTTTATTTCATCATATTTTGGATCAGTATATAGATAGAATGACAGCTGATAACACCAAGACATCTAATGGGTTATTTATTGCTGTGATTCTAGGAACTGTCTCTCCCATCCTCTAAGGTCAAGTTAGTCTGACCACAGACCACTGCGCTCCTGCTCATATGTAAGTTATCCTCCTCTAAGACTCCTGCCATGCAAGATACCTCACCTTCCTCCTCTTTGCAATCATCAGTTCACCTTCTTAATCACTTGACCTCTGGGCACCAATCTCTTTCCTCCGTTTCTCAATAAAACTTGACTACTTACAACATTACATATAGCATCACCTGGGGAGGTTAAATTAAAAAATACTAATGGTTTAGAGTAGGCCCCAGACACTTAAATCAGAATCTCTGGAGATGGTTTCCAAGCACTGCCTTTCTTTTTTTAAAGCTCCACAGGTGACAAACGTGTACTCAAGAATGAGAAAAAACATCAATAGTCCAAGTTCTTTAACATGACATCAAACTGCTCTTAGGTGCCTACTTTAGCCTATAATTCTGCGCCTTTGCTCTTGCCATCTCCTCTGTCTAGAATCTCCACCTATTCCACCATGTAGATTATCTTTTAATTCCTTTTAGTCTTCATTTCAATGATTTACATAGCAGATGTTAAATAAATACCTGCTAATAATTATTTTCAAAAAGTCCTATTCCTCAAATCTAGGAATGAGAAAGAGTAAGAATGTCACTATAGTTGTTAAGATCTCTGAATACCTATGGAAAGTTCCTAGTGTTACACTGTTGCATTATTAGTAAAGGTATAGGAAAACACAGAAACAAGTTGCAGTAGCATCCAAATTATGATGTTAAAAGTTGCATACTTTATGTGGCTAAACGATACCTGGTCAAAAAGTTGTTTGCCAGTTGTATTAGGCTGAATGGCAAATTCCAGCTCAGCATCCATTGTGGTTACTCGTACATTGATCTGTAATAAAAACAAAAGGGATAATCAGGAGAGAGATTATACTTACTAAGTATTAGGCATGAGAAAATACCTTCAGCTGATTTATAAAATAAAGTCATATAATATGTAGCCAGTCAAGAGCAACTTCATAATTGTACCTAATATTTTCTTTATTAAAGTGATAAAGTTTGATTTTAATCACAGGAAATCTCAAATCTACTTGAAAAACAAAGAGCTTACAAAGTTCTCTTTTAAAAACATTTATTGAATATTTAACATATACTAGGCACAAGACCATGAGCTTTCCATATTCTCATTCAGCCCCTGCAACAATACTAGAAGATGTTCATTTCTATGGAAACTCAGAGTTCCCATTACTTGCCCAAGGACACATGGATATCAAATGGCAGGGCAGACATTTAAACTGAGGTATAACTACAAATTCTTCCAATGTCATTCACTATCTCATATTTCTTTCAACACAAAAATCAGATATTTAGTTTTATTCATACTACAAATGTATTCTTCACCTTATAAAAAGCATTCATCTATTGCCCTTTGTTAGACTCTATCTTAAATTCTAATTTTTTTGTGTAAATACCTTTCCAAATATCTCACCAAAAATTTAACATGCCTTAACCAAAACAATTTTAACTCCAGAGTAGCATCTCCACCTAGCATTCACCATGATGTGGTACAAATCTATCTTTTTGATTTTAACTCACAATGTTAGAATTCTAAATCAGACTTCTTACTTCCCCTTAAATGTTTTCCTCATTCTAACAAGCAGAACCTCTACACATGTAGCTTTTGCGGGGGTGAGAGTAGGGGTGGGGAGTGTTGGGGGGGTGGGCGGGGATCAACCCTGAGCTAACATCCACCACCAATCCTCTTCTTTTTGCTGAGGAAGACTGGCCCTGAGCTAACACCTGTGCCCATCTTCCTCTACTATATGTGGGACGCCTGCCACAGCATGGCTTGATAAGCAGCGAGTAGGTCCACACCAAGGATCCCAACCAGTGACCCTCAGGCTGCCAAAGCGGAGCACATGAACTTAACCGGCCCCTGCACATGTAGCTTTTATCTGAAATACTTCTCTAGTCAAATAAATCTTTCAGATCTTTCTTTAAAACAGTTATCTGTTAGGAAATACTGATACACATTAAACAATACATGTAACATACGTAAACAATGAAGCATAATAAAATGAAACCTCCTGGGATACAATAATACGTATTTGATCTTCATCTTGGTTCCTAGCAGAGTTTCTAAAACCCTTGGAGTTTCCTGAATGATAGATGTGAGAGGAGTGTCTTCTGTTATTCATAATAAGCTCCTTTCAACCACAGGTGAGTTTATGCTAATGAGGTAACTCTGGATGGGCCCCGACATAACTCCAGAATGGGGGCTGGTAACCAAAGGAACAAACTACACGATTAGAGCCACCCACACCAACCTCCAGGAAGAGGAGAGAGGATGGGAATTCAGTTAATTACCAATCACCAATGATTTAATCAATCATGCCTACGTAATGGAACATTCATAAAAACCCTACACAAAAGGGTTCAGAGAACTTCTAAGTTGGTGAATGCATCCACATGCAGAGGATGGTGCACCTCAAACTCTACAAGGACAAAAGCTCCTTTGCTCAGGACCCTTCTGGACTCTTCCTATGTGCCTCCTCTTCATCTGTATCCTTGATTTGTACCCTTAATAAGATCCTTTATATTAAGTGGGAATAGTAAGTAAAGTGTTTCCTTGAGTTCGGTGATCTGTTTATAGCAAATTATAGAGTCTGAGGAGGGGATGAAGGGAATCCTCAGTTTGTAGCCCAATTAGACAGATGTATGGGTAACCTGGGGACCCACTACTTGTGAGTGGCACCTAAAGTGGGGGGCAGTCTTGTGGAACTGAGCCCTTAACCTGTGGGGTCTGTACTAACTCCAGGTAGTTGGCGTCAGAATGAATTAAACTGCAGGACACACAATTGGTGTCTGCACAGAACTGGAGAACTGCTTTGCGTGGAAAATCCACATTCTGTGTGAGAAATTTTCTGAGCAAAGAAAAAGTTCTTCTTTACCCATAAATCTACTATCCAACTTAATAACTAGAAATAACAAATAATGTTGCATATATCAGTGTATTTCTTCTTTTTGAATTTCTCTGTCCCCAATCCTCCACAGGTAAGCAATAACCTGAATTTTGTGTTTGTCACTACCTTGCTTTTTTAAAAAAGAATAGTTCTACCACAAATGTAGGTATCTATATGTAAAATATTTAATTTTTCTTGATTGTTAGCTGTATTAAAATTTTATAGTACTTACCAAAAAAGTGCTCTTTCTCGATGTGGGCAATGGTTACATCAGTATATTTATTTTCTGAAAATTCATCAACTACTCACTAATGATGTATTCTTTTGGATACGTATATTCTATTTCAACAAAAAGTTTAAACAGAAATTGCACTACACTGTAGTTTGTTTATTCACAATTACATTTCTAAGATCCACTCACATTTTTGTGTGTATAGTCATGTGCTGCATGATGACATTTCAATCAACGAGGGACCGCATATACCACTGTGGTCCCATTAAGATTAGTACCACATAGCCTAGATGTGTTGTAGGCTATACCATCTATGATGTTCGCACAAGGACAAGATCACCCGACGACACACTTCTCGGGACATGGTTAAGTGATGCATGACTGTAGTTGTAATTACTGCCATATAATATCTACATGTGACTAAACAATCACGTATTTACCTAATAATGAACATTAAATGTTTCCAACTGTCTGGCTATTAAGAAGAATACTGCTATGAACATTCTTGTAAATGACTCCTAGTGCATGTGTCTGAGTTTCTCTACAAGTATATACTCAGAATTCCGAAGGAATAAAGTATCATTCCTTCAACTTTACCATGTATTGCTGAATTGTCTTCCAACATGATTGAACTTACACTCCCATCAATAGTACGTAAGAATTCCTGCTGATCTATATTTTTACCAAGGGTTGGTATTATCAGATTTTTTAATGTTTGACAATCTACTGGATATAAAACAATATCTCAATATGGTCTTGATGTGCAAATCCCTGATTCCTAATGAGGCTGAGAACATTTTTGTATGTGAGGTAGGCAGAACTCTGAGACAGTCCCCCCAACCCATCATCTCCACCCTCTGGTATTACTCTCATGATTATGCTATGCTACATGACAAAAGGGATTTTGCAGCCATACTTAAGGTTACTAATCAGTTGATCTTAAAAAGATTGTGTGGGTGGGTCTAAGCTAATCATGAGTCTTTTAAAATCAAAGCATTTTCTTGACTGGTTGCAGAAGTCAGAGAGATTGAAAGTGCGAGACGAATTTGACACAAAAGAGGTTCTCCATTGCTAAAATGGAGGGGCTATGGGGCAAGGACCTGACATCAGCCTAAAGGAGCTAAGAGTGACCCCTCGCCAACAGCTAGCAAGAACACCAGAGACTTCATTCTCCAGTAAAGAAGGATGGATCATTTCGCAAGGAAATGAATTCTGCGTTGAGAGCCTGAGCAGAGAACCCAGATACATCATTCTATATTTCTAACCTATAAAACTGTGAGATAATAGACGGATGTTGTTTTAAGGTACTAAATTTGTTATGGAGCAACAGAAAACGATGTTTATTGACCATTCAGTCTCCTTATCTTTCAAATCCTTTTTCATGCCTATAGCTTATTTTTCTATTGGGGTGTCTTTTTCTTACTCCTATGTTGGAGCATATTCTAGACATTAATCCTTTGTCAGTTATTTGTGTTACAAAAAAATCTTCTCCCAGTTTGCAGCCTGTCATTTACTTCATGAAGTGCCCTTTACGGTAAACACATTCTTAATCTTAATGTTGAATTTATTAATGTTTTACATACAAGTAGCATTTTTTGCCATCCTTAACAAATCCCTCCCTACTATGGAGTCATAGAGATAGTCTTATATTTCCTAGTAAATTTTATTTTTCATAATTTGTCTTGAGTGATTTTTGCTAATGATTTGAGGTAGAGGTCCAATTTCATTTTTTAATCCCCATAAGGATAATGATATGGAGATTCAAAATTTCAAAATGATCTATATTATTAGTTAATTTGCTCTTGAAAGACTACTCTGTCACAAATCAAATGTCAATGGGTATGAGTCTGATTGTGTGCTCTCTATTCTGTTGCATTGGTCAATTTAACTATTCTGCCAATACCATACCATCTTAATTACAGTTACACTTTACATAAGTCTTGATATCTGGCAGGGCAAGTCTCCTCTCATTATCTTCAGGACTGTTTTGACTATTCTTGGCTCTTTGTTCTTGCTCTTGGCTCATACAAAGTTGCAAACTTATCAAAATACCACAATTATGATTTAAACTGGAACTACACTAAACTTAGTCTCTTAGGGTAAGAAACGACAACTTTTCAATATTGACTCTCCCTAGCCATGACTACAGCTCTGTGCACTAACTTAGGTCTTCTTTAATATCTTCCAAAAAAGTGTTTACAATTTTCTCCATAAAAATCATATCGATCATTTGTTAGATATCTTTCCCTTAGATCATTATGGTTTTGTAGCTCTTATAAATACAGGTCCATAATCCCTTAACATCCTAAAAGCACTGAAAACTGAAGTTTAGCAATTTCTAGCAAAAATCTGACATGAAGTGATGTGAGATTATCTGGTGAATTCACTTATCCTACTTCAAATGAACATTCAGCTTATAGAATTATGTTTCTGAGGTGATGCAACAGATCTTGATTACAGTTTCATTATATAATGACATATGCACATAATATACAGCATATTCATCTTTCTAAAATCCCAAAAATTTCAAATACTAAAAACTCATCTAACTGAAAGGGTATCAAATACAGGATTTTGAACCTAATAAAATAGTTTTCCAAAATTTTTCCTGGTTTTGCTTCTGGTAGAAATGCAATTGATTTTTATACTGATCCTTTTATCAGTTCCCTTGCCAACTGTTATAATGAGCCTGCCGATCTTTGTGTTTACATAAACCAGAGATTAGAAAACTTTTTCTGTAAAGGGCCAAACAGTAACAATTTTAGCCTTTGCAGATCATACAGTCTGTTGCATCTACTCAACAATGATACTATAGCAACCAAGCAGTTACAGATAATGAACGATGAGCATACTGTATTCCAATAAAACTTTATAGGCACTGCAATTTGTATTCACACAATTCTCACGTGTGAAATATTCTTTTAAATTTTTTTCAACCACTGAAAATGTAAAAACCACTCTTAGCTTGCAGACTGTACAAAAACAGGTGGTGGGCTGGATTTGGCATATAGGCCATAATTTGCCAACCATTGATATAAACAAAGAATCTTAACATCTTCAAAGAGTGTTTCTTCCTTTCCAGTCCTTGAGCTTCGACTTCCTTTCCTGTGCAGATTTCCCTGTTCAATGCTGAACAGAGCAGTGATAGTATCTTTTGTTTATGATTTTTTTAAAGAAAGGTTTCCACTGTTAACACATTAAGAACAGCTTTTGCTGTAGGTTTTCCTTTATACCTAGCTTAAGAGGTGTTGGTTTTTATTTTTTAAATCATGAATAGTTGTTCAATTCTAGTAACTGATCTTTCTCAATTTATCACATGATTTTTCTCCTTTAAACTAACCATATGGTTGTGGCAGAGACTGCTTATTGTTTGACGGCCAAAATTTTATAGAATTATAGCTGGACATATGACTACTGAGCCACAGAACATTTCTCAGTATCTCTTGCAATTAGGTACGGCTATATGACTAAGCTCTCACCAACAGAACATGAGCAGAAAAGACAGAGGCCACTTCAGCGCCTAGGCATAAAGTAGTGAGCCTGCCTCCCCATGCTGTTTCTTCCATTTCTGCTGGCTGGAGCTCAGACATTGCAATAACTCACCTTTATAGAGACAGTAATAATGGCCTAGGCCAGAAGTTCTCAAACTTTTTGGTCTCAGGATCTATTTACAGTCTTAAAAATTATTAAGCATCCCAAAAAGCTTTTGTTTATGTGGGGTGTCTATCAACGTTACCACATTAGAAATTAAAACTGAAAAAATTTTAAGCTATTAACTCATTTAAATATAACAAGAATAACTCTATTAGATGTTAACATAAATAACATTATGAAAAATACAAATATTACTTACAAGTATGTTTAACAAAAAAGCACTATAAGGCAACTTTTAACGCCTTTTCATTTGATCCTAATAGTAATTCTCTGAGGTAATCAAAGCACTTATTAAATCAACTTTATTTTACAAGTAAAAAAAAAGTCTATAGAAGTTGTGACTTGACCAAGATTACACATCTACTAAGTATAAAATGGGGCCAACACAATCAGTGTAAAACATGGAGATCAAATGAAATTTCTCTAAGCTTTGTGTTTTGAAAAATTAGACTTTCTCTTTTTTATTTTGCAGGAGTTTGGAGGTGGCTAATTATACTCTCACCTTAAAAGTTTAAAGGAAAAAAAATCTAACACTATTAATATCTTAAAATCTTTTCTTCCAGAATTTTTTGCATTAACACCACATAATTTATATCAAACTGTATATACAATTTTGAATCCTTACTCCAAGGAATAATAAGTGTTCTCCACTCAATTATACTAATAGCTTACAAAGCAGTTGTAAACTTTTACATTCCTCCCAGAAATATATTCAAGTTACAGCTGATCCACATCCTTACCAAAACTTGATATTATCAGTCTTTATTTTAAGCCCTTCTAGTGAGTATAAAGTGGTGTCTCCCTGTAGTTTTAATTCATGTTTCCCTGCTAACTAAAGACACTGAGGATCTTTTTTTTTTTTGAGGAAGATTAGCCCTAAGCTAACATCCACGGCCAATCCTCCTGTTTTTGCTGAGGAAGATTCATCCCATCTTTCTCTATTTTATACGTGGGATGCCTACCACAGCATGGCTTGATAAGCAGTGCTTAGGTCCATGCCTGGGACCAAACCGGTGAACCCTGGGGCCACCAAAGCAGAGTGGGTGAACTTAACCAGTACGCCACAGGGCAGACCCCAACACTAAGGATCTTTTCATGTGGTTGTTGGCTATTAATGTGCGTTCTTTTGTGAAGCATCTGTTCAAAGTTTTTGCCCATTTTTTAAGAACTAGGCTGTCTTAGTGAGTTCTAAAAGAACTTTATATCTCAATTATTTTCTCCCATTCTGTCTTGCCTTTTCATTTTCTTATTGCTCTCTTTCAAACAGAAAAAGTTTTTGTTTGCTTGGTTGGTTTTTGCTGAGGAAGATTCACCCTAAGCTAACACCTGTTGCCAATCTTGCTCTTTTTTGTATGTGAGCCGCTATCAGAGCATGGCCACATACAAAAAAGGTCTGCACCTGGGAACCAGGCCCAGGCCACTAAAGCAGAGCACACCGAACTTAATCACTAGGCCACTGGGGCTGGCCCAAGCAAAAGTTTTTAATTTTGATGAAATCCAATTTTTCTTATTAGATCAAACTTTCTGTATTACCTAAGAAAGTCTGCCTATCCTAAAGTTGTAAAAATGTTTTATCTTTTCTTCTAGCAGTTTTATAGTTTGGGCTTTTGTATTTAGGGCTATGATCCTTTTGGAGTTAATTTTTTGGATAAATTGCAATATAAGGGTCAATGTTCAAGTTTTTCCATATGGATAACTGTTCCAACATCATTTGTTGGAAAGAATTTAATTTCCCCATTGAACTGTGTAATACCTCTGTTGAAATTCTAATGAAGATAAGTGTGTAGGTGTATTTTTATTCCACTGATCCTATTATCTATCTTTTCACCAATACCACATTGTCTTCTTTTCTCCGCTGAGGAAGATTAGCCCTGAGCTAACATCTGTACCAAGGTTCCTCTACTTTATATGTGGGTTGCTGCCACAGCATGGCTGAGAAGAGGGGCAGGCCTGCGCCTGGGATCTGAAGCTGTGAAGTGGAGCACACCAAACTTAACCCCTATGCCACAGGGCCAGCCCCCACACTGTCTCATTTTCATAGCTTGTGAGTAAGTCTTGAAATCCAGGAGTGAAGGTTTTCTAACTTTGTTCGTTAGCCAAAGCAGCCTGCTGGGACTTAGCTGACTGGAATTGCATTCAATCCACCATTACGTCTTGGGAGAACTGACATCTTAATATTTTCTAAATAGATCTATGAACAATGTATATTTTTCTGTATATTTCAGTCTTTAATTTCTCACAAGTTTTCAGTGTAGAGCTCTTGTGCAGGTTCTGTAAATTTATTCCTAAGAATTTTATGTCTTTAATGCTGTTATGAATGAAATTTTTTTTACGTCCTTTTTCAAATTTTGCTGCTAGTATATATGGAAGACAACTGATTTTTACAAATACAACTTTGTGTTCAACAATCTTACTAAATTCAGTTATTAGTCCTGGTAGTTGTTTTGTAGATTCCTGAGGATTTTCTACATAAACAATCATGTCACCTACAAACAGAAAAATTTACTTCTTCCTTTCATTTCCTTCCTGATGTTTATGCCTTTCATTTCTTTTTATTCTTCTCTCCCTCCAACCATGCACACCTTGTTACCTGCTGAGTCTTTAAATTCCAAAGTGATATCCATACCAGAAAATTCCAATAACTATAACCAAAGATTTTCTTAAAAAGATAATTGGCCAAAAGAAACATTATTGAAAAAACACCCTAGTTTTGTTAGATGAAGAATATTTATCCTAAGACAAAAGGAATAAACCTTAGTCAAGAACTATATAATTATAAAACTAAGCAAAATGATCACACATGTACCCTTAAACAAAAAATCTAAGACTATACAACATCAGCATCGGTATCACTAGCACCAAAGCTAGAATTATGAGAATATTAATAATGCACGGATCCTTCCAACTTCTCGTTAATTCTTCCTATTTAACAATAAGTTACCACTTAGTGAGCACTGAATGTGTACCAAGATCTTCTAATTCTCACCATACTCCCTTAAGTAAGTAAGTAATTATATGTCCATTTCATATATGAGGAAATTAAGAATTGAAGAGACAGCACTAATCTAACAAAAGTCACTCAAATTAAGTGGCAGGGCCAGGATAAGAACTAACACAGTTTGATCCCAGAACCCATGAATTTTAATCTTAACCAGAATGTGACCTACACCTCTTCTTCACTGGCCCACAACACTGTGCTCTAGACATGTTAATCGAAAACAAGTAACAGTAATAGCAACGCCTTTTTCTTCCCAAAAGCTCTACCATAGCACTTTGCCTTGCTCCAAAAAGAACTCAATACTATTGACATTTTATTAAGTAAATAGTGGCAAAAATAAAATACACTTACTGGTTTCGGCATTTTCCTTCTCTTTGTGTCACCTTTAAAAATTCTTCACTTTTATGAATCCTGTTGTCACTTTCTGTTAAAGAAAAAGAAAGCATAATTGACCTATTCTATTTTTATATAATGCTTTTATTTTAACATGATTTATATAGGATAAAATAAATATTAAAACATTTTAAAATGAGTTTAAAGTAACAGAGCTCTCATTTTAATTTCCAATGTCTTCTACTATCATTTCACATTCTCTAAAAACATTCACAGATGTGACTTAAAACAGCACACATCTCAAGTCACACAATATAAACATACTGATCACTAACTACAAGTTTTAATTTAATTAGTGACAGCACATAGCAAAGAAACAAGATTGCTCAGGGCTCAAATGCTGTCTCTGAGTCAGGTTCACCCTTACATCAGCATGGAGTAGACAGAAGGAAAGTAACAGTGAAGAGAGATGGATTCAGATTCTAAAGAGAGAAACTCAAGAACGCTTTCCAACCTTTTTTCTGAACTGCCAAAGACAAAAGGAAATTCTGATTAATGTAAACTATAAAAAGATAACTTTTTAAAGAAAATTATTTTTTCTTCTTGAGAGCTTAAAAATCCAAGTAGAGAAAAACATGTAAAAAGTAGCTTATTCACCTAAGGTGTATAAAACGGCCATAGTCTCCTCACCAGCAAGCTGCAAGCTACTTAGTAGCAGGCTAGTTGCCTTAACTGAAACTTAGAATTGTCCTCAAGACCAACGTTAAATTGTATCTTCTCCCCCAAAAGCAACTGAAGGGAATCCTAATCTAGGAAAACTGTCATGCTGTCTTTGGGTAAATGTTCTTACAAACATCTAACAAAATTGGTTTTTCCTCTTACAAACCTAACCAAAATATCTAACATTCTTAATCATTATTAGTTGTCCTGAAAAAGTGATTATCATTCCAATCTGAAAATCTATAGCGGGAAGCGTATTAGATAAATTATTACTTTAAAATCAGCTTACATTGGTAATATCTCTGCCAAGAAACCTTATTCACTATACTAGCGTCAACTAAATTAATACAATGTTTTACATTTACTACTACATTATCAATTGTTTTTTAAGATGCTATAATCAACAAAATTGAAAATTCTCCAAATCAAAATAAAAATGAAGCATCGAAGTCAGTCCACTTCCCTAAATTTTATTCAATCACATGCCAATAAAACTTTCTATAGAAGGAACTTCCTCCTGAGATATTTTTTATCTCATACACTGAGCTATGAAATTCAGTTGGTAAGTATTAAACTCCTCATTTCCTCTTATTTCCTTAACAATTATCTAGGAAATGAGAGACCAACATTCCCTTCCCGCAGTCATCTACTTTCATGAACCCAAATGTACTTCCATCCTATCTTATAATTCTGTATTCTCTTTTCATCCCACTACTATGGTCTTAGTTCAGACCCATATCATCTCAGGTCTTAAGAGCCTCCAAATCGACCTGCTTTTCACATCATTTATAAGCCAGTAACTCCCAAATCTGTGCCTCCAGAACTTGCTTGGCTAACTTGACCTGCTCAATATCTAAAAATTATCTCAAACATAACATAGTCAAAACTCTTAAGTCCCTACTCCAGAGCCAAGTCTGCTTTTCTACGAGTCTTGGTGACATATTTCTAGAAAGTCAGTCATAGTATTATTCTCTCATGATTTTTTTATATCTCTACTACATCTGCAGTTATAATCCTCTTTTCATTACTAATACTGTTAATTTTTGCTTTCACTTTTGCTTGATTAATCTTGCCGGAAGTTTGCTTAGCTTATTGGTCTAAAAGCCAGCTTTCAGTTTTGTTGATCTTCTGTTTCTTTTATTTTTCTCTTTTACTAATTTCTGTCCTTTTCCTCATCATTTTTCTTTCTCACTAGTTGGCTTTACTCTGTGGCTCATTTTCTAATCCCTGAAGTTGAAAGTTTACCTAAGTAATTTCCAATCTTTTTTCTTTTCTAATATGTGTATTAAGGTCATAAAACTAAATATGTCTAAGTATTAGGCAACTCCAAATATAAAGTCATCCCCCTATTTTGCAAGTAAGAATATTTAAAAATAATTTTGTATCATTTGAACATGTAAAATAACCAAATATGTATTTAGATTATTTATTAGTATACTTAAATATCAAAAACACATGATCTGGGGCCAGTGCCATGCCGAGTGGTTAAGTTCGCATGCTCCGCTTTGGTGGCCCAGGGTTTCACTGGTTCGGATCCTAGGCTCGGACACGGCACCACTCATCAGGCCATGCTGAGGTGGCATCCCACATGCCACAATCAGAAGGACCACAATCACAGTATACAACTACATACTGGGGAGCTTCGAGGGAAAAGAAGAAGGGGAAAAAAAAAGAAGATTGGCAACAGATGTTAGCTCAGGTGCCAAACTTTAAAAAAAAGACCTATGGGGGCTGGCCCCGTGGCCGAGTGGTTAAGTTCGCGCGCTCCGCTGCAGGCGGCCCAGTGTTTCGTTGGTTCGAATCCTGGGCGCGGACATGGCACTGCTCATCAGACCACGCTGAGGCAGCATCCCACATGCCACAGCTAGAAGAACCCACAACGAAGAATACACAACTATGTACCGGGGGGCTTTGGGGAGAAAAAGGAAAAAATAAAAATCTTTAATAAAAAAAAAAAATTTAAAAAAAAAAACCTATAAAATATTGATTCAGAACATTGTTTGCTTTATCTCATATTTCATAGAACAGTTCTCTTCAAACTCCTCACACACATGAGACATGAGGGCTTTATATCAGAACTTTTTGAATTACAGTAAATTTTTCAGATTACACAAGCACTTTTTGAATTAGTCTATTATACTATCACTAAAATTTTTATCCCAAGCCACAACTACCCATTTATATAAAACATTAGGAATTTTTTCCCTAGTTGTACTGTTGGAATATATTTTAATATCTACAGTGTAACCGCTGTATTCTTTTTTAAGTGATTTTTTTAACCATATCTGCTCTAGATTTCTTTACCTCTTTATGTTTAAATCACTTATCAGATGAGCTCTGTGAGCTTTCCAAACTCACCTGCACTAAGGCATTTCAGGTCAGCGGGCCTGGCCTAAACAGCACTTGTCTGCTCAAGAGAGAGAACATCTCACAATGAGAGAGCTCCTAGGAACACAAATAGAAATCTCCTTTTCTGGGGCATAGTTTTTGAGAAAATTGTCTTGCCTTCTATTTGAAACCACACCATTTTCCTAAGCATCACTTTAGTAGTTTCCCACACAGGTTTTTATACGTGGTTTTTTCATAATGGTTAGCTCTGTTTTAATTTCCAGTTACAATTTCTAATCACTACTAAGAAATTTTTTTAAGGTTTCAAATGGAATGGTTAGAGGCCTGGGGCCGAGTGCTGTCTTTTTATTATTTATTTCTAAGTTTATTATACTATAACCAAAGAATTCATTAAAACTTCCTATTTAGTACTTGGTCAGTTTAGCTTCTTTTTTGATGTTCCAGATATAAATGAAAATAATGTCTTTTCCGCATTTGATAAATTAGATCAAGCTAGACCAAGTACTTAATGTTTTGTTTACAGTCTCTCCACTATCACCCATTTTAACCCATTTTAGTCTTCTTAATCAATTTGAGAAAAAAATGTATTAAATTTTCCCAACTACGATTGTCAATGTTAATTTCTTCCTGTATACTGCCACTTTCTTATTTATATGCTTTTAGGCTATGTTATTGAGTATAAGTTTACAATTGCTGTATCTTCCCTGTGAATACTTCCTTTTTTTCATTAAGTAATAGTTTAGCTGCACACAAAATTCTAAATTGACGGTGTTCCCTCAGCATTTGGAAGATATTTTCTTCTGGCATCTGCTGCTGCTGATGACAAGTCTGTTGTCAATCTAACTCATTCCTCTGAGGTAATCTGCCTCTTTTTAAGATTTTCTTTTTTGGTGTTCTTCAGATTTACTTTTATTTATCTTGTTCAGGATTTGGTAAGCTTCCTTATTCTGAAGACTCACACTTTTCTGAAATTCTGTAAAATTATTAGCCATCATCTCTTTCCATTCAACAATTCTTATTAGATACATACCAGATATCTTATTCTTTAATCTATGCCTACTTTTTCACATTTTCCAACTCTTTATCTCTCTGTGCAACATGCCTTTAGTCCTTAATTCTCTCTAGTTGTTTTTAATGTTTTATCTCTCCACTAGTTTAAAATTTCAGTGATTATTTTTATTTCTAGAAATTCCTTTTCGGATTTTTAAAAAATGCTTTTTAATAATGCCATGCTATTTTATAATGCGTTTTAATTCTTCTTTTATACCTATGTTTATTTTATGTCATTATAAAATTATTCTACTATTTTCATTTCATTAGGGCTTATTTCTTAATGAAGTTTCTAATTCTGGACAGAAAGTTCATGTCCTAACCCACTCCCCGATGTGGGAATCCTGCAAGGCCTGATTTGTATATGTATCCCTACAGAGGTGTTTCAAGTTTGCTCCTACCAGAGCACTAGGGATTTAATTGTCCTAGACTCAAGTTTTACATTAACTCCTTGATTTAGCATCCATTACCATCTCAGACCCATGGCCACACCCTAGAGAAGTTAACAGATACTCAAGAGAGCTTCCTCATCTACTGATCATGTTATTTATTAAACCATATGGCTGTTGTGCCCTTCCTGTGCAACCTCTCACCAATAACGAAGATCAAAGGAAAGAAAGTGAGCATTAATTACATGCCAGACTACAAACTAAGTTAAAGCACTCAAATTATAGAAAAAGTATCAAACACGAGGCCAGCTAAGCAGGTAAATAAATATCAAGTATGCAGGTTTATAGAATTTCTGAAGTTACGTATTAATCAAATACGGAAACTAAATGAAGGCAGAGTTTTTTTCTTTTCCTTTAAAAAGTAATTTACCCATATTTTCAATTCTTAGAGTTACTTCAAGTTATACTCTACAGAAAAGGACCTTTCAAGCAAAATAATCCATACTAAAGTTTCAGGTTTAATAAGAGAGCTCTGCTGACATAAAAGTATTAATATATCATAGGCCAGGATATACAAAAATCA